CGTGCCCGTACTGTGCATCGTGCCAACGCTTGCGCGTGCTTCGCCGAATAAGAAAACGAACTACGCACGGAAATTAGACGTACCGTAACTTTTGGGATAGCTGCAAATGATGGACTGTAGCTTTAACTCCAATTCTGATTTCAGACTGCAGTGTATATTTTTAGAGCATAAATTTCCACTTCATTAGACTTGAATTCGAATTTCATCAAAACTTGATTATTTTCGTTTTACTACTAGGCCATATTGGAGCTGTGTAAAAAAATCAACTTGTGGTTCACTCGTGTCTTTCAGTGTGGTTATAAATAAAAATCCAAGAGTCCAAGGGTCGCTGATTGCCTTACACTACAAACATGACAAATGAATCACCAAAGAAAAGAAAATTTATGACAGCGAAATACATGTATCCAAAATTCTATCAGGTTTCTGCCCGGAATGACATCACAGGTTTGCTCATGAATATGGAAATTCGTATTAGCATAAAAACCAAAAAGGCACCAAAAGACCCTTCAAAATTACTACGAGAAAACTGAAAATAAGGTTAAATGGGACACAAAGGTGCATTTTCAATGATTTTGATGGCATTAAAGGGAATATACATCATTTGCTTTTGCTGTAATTTTCAGAAATGGATGGAATTGGGGGGTTGGAAATATAAAGCAAATATAGTTACACTGACTTTTTGGAGGTTTTGGGTTCGAAAATGCTATAAAAACCAAGAAAAATGATCATTTTCCTGTAGTCTGGTTCCCTGACTCCATATAAGAAGAAACAGAGCAGTTTACATACATTGGGGAATTGTAAGGTCAGGGAACCAGTCAAGCTGGCTCGTACCCGTTCATAGGTTTGTAATCGATTGCAAACAAGTGCAATGGTCAATTGGGTCCAGTATTTGAAAAAAAAAGCCAGTTGTTTCCAACGCTGATCGGCCGATCAGCGTTGGAAATTGATACAAAAATACCACTTTTCTTGAAAATGACAGTATACCAGGTGCCATAATTTTACAGGATGCTTTATACTGTCATTTACCAACATCCTATTAAGGTATTTCGCAAAAACTTGGTAGTTTTATTTTTCGATGTTTGCAAATGTTGTATATTCCCTTTAAATAATATTTATAATAATAATAATAATAATAATAAAATTGCATTTATTATGCGCATATACCATAAAATGTTCAAATGCGCATTACAAAATTTGAACAGTACCGGTAGCTAAAATATTAAAAATACGAATTTGAATTAAACATTAGTCTTAAATGTAAAAAACACTAGATATTTTAGAAAACACTGTCAAAACAATGAAACTTAAAATTACAAAAACAAGACCTACATTTAAAATAGATAATAGTAAAACCAGGCCTTCATTTTTAAGGAGCGCGATCGCGCTCCTTCGCGCTCCTTAACACGGTTTCTGGCGCGCGAATAATAGCGCTCCTGGGTAAATTTGTAAGCTTATTAATTGTCGACTCCAGTTTTTGTCTACATAAAAGCCAACAGTAAAATCTTGTCAATCCAAATTTTATATACTTGATTTCTTAACTTGTTATGTCATCCCGATGTTTGAACGATTTTGTTGCAAAAAAAATCAACAAATACATGGATACATCAGCCATTTTCTTTTCATCAACGACATGTAGCACGTCATTCAGACGTGCACCACCGTTAAGTGAATAAAATGAAATAATAATTTCGGTTGAGATCAGTTTATATATTAGTTTATAAATATTTATAATGTAAAACTAAATAAATAAACCTCCGATGAAGTGAAAACACAAAACAATTATGAAATTGATGGGCTGAGCAATTAAAACCACCTACTTTGTAATACCAACACCCCTATTTTCGATAAAATGGACGTGCTTCCAAATGGGCGACCCAAGCACACGTGTTGAGTGTGGTGTGTGGGCCGGGCGACGGTTAAGTTCCCGTACGTAAGTCGCCACGCATAACGCGTACGGTACATAATGTAATGTACTTGTGTTGTGCACGATCTAATACTGTGCAGCCAGACAACAGTGGGTAGGCCTATGTGAAATTACACCGTTTTTCTGGAAGTTGTGATATTCCAAAGGGAGCCAGAGTTATTGAGCGGCATTTTGAATGATCTCCAGTACATCTACAAGAAACCTAACGTTCATTTTTGACAAGTTTGGGTTGGAAATACCTTACGAAAGGTTGAGCTCATTGGTCCCACAATGATAGAGTGCAGAGCGATTTTCCGTGTGTCGACTACCGGGCTATGCCCGCAAGCGCGGCCGGTCAACAGGCCACCCGTGCACGGTGACGTTGTTTGTGCGTAGTACCATTCGACATTTTGTAATGGCGTTACTTGTACATTTCTGTGACCTTACTTTCGATCCTTTTATTTTTTGTGCCCAAAACCAAATATTCATATAATTATTTTCCTTTTCTATTTTACTAATTTTGAGGATTTATGTGACAAAAAAAGTATTTCTTTGACAGATGTATGACCGGACTTAAATTAATTGGATTTTTTTGGGGGGGGGGGGGAGGGGGCTCTGGGCTCTATTCATCAATTTGGATATATATTTAGAACCCCTCAAAAACACTGTTACACCACATGATACATATGCAAATTTAAACAAAAACAGGTTTTTAGTAAAGTTAGTAAACCAAAACAATTAAACTATTTGATAAAACAAAATCAATACATAAAAACTGAAATAAACAGTAAATAAAACAAAATAAAAATAAAATAAAGTGAGTATAATAAAAACGAAGTAAAATAGAACAAAATAGAAACACTAAAGAACCACAAGTCAACTCCAATTTGTTTTTCATTTTTATTTCCACAGGATGATTCACAAACAAGTAAAACTTAAACCTATTAAATTGACATGAATTAAGCACTCAATTTGTAGTGAACAGTTGCATCTGTTTCTCAGTTCTGATGCAAGTGTGTGTGCATGATATGAAAGGCACCAGGAAATGATTTGGATTCATTTTTTACTTTGAGCACAAAACATGCAAATCGAGCTCCTCGGACTTCCCAGGAGAGCAATTTTGGGTGCTCAAATTGAGCTCCTCGGATTTCCCAGGAGAGCGATTAACTGAGCTCCACGAATTTCTAAAAATGAAGGCCTGAAAACCTAATACATGAATGCCTTTGTAAAAAGAAAAGTCTTAAGCTTAGTCTTAAAAACTGTTCGAGACTGAACAGACTGAATTTCAGGCGGTAGCTGGTTCCATAAGCTGGGAGCGGCTTGTGCAAATGCACGATCCCCCATAGTCTTTTGCATTCTCCCAGATGGACAATCTAAAAGCAACCGCCCATTGGATCGCAGGGAATAGTTGGAATGGACCTTAACTTTCAACATATGTATAATGTATCTGGGAGCAAGATCATGAAGAGCCTTGAAGGTCAACAGAAGGATTTTAAAGTGTATGCGAGATTGTATAGGCAACCAATGTAACTGATAAAGTAGAGGAGTTACATGGTTCCACGATGGTTTGCCACAAATAAGCCTTGCTGCAGCATTCTGAACTCGTTGAAGCTTAACTAATTGTGAATTTGGTAAGCCATAATATAGGCCGTTGCAATAATCAAGGCGACTGGTTATGACAGCATGCACTAAAGTAATCAATGCATCTCTTGACAAGTATTTCTTGATTCTTCTGATATTGTGAATGTGATAAAAAGTAGTGGAGCATATGGTAGTAATCTGCTTATAAATGCATACTCAATTTTGAGTCGAACCAGCAACCTAAGTTACGAACTTGTAATGAAGGTGATATAGTACAGTCTCCCACATTGATACCAGATATAGTCAGTTTAGATAATTGCTGCTGACTACCAATAATGATAAATTCAGTTTTGGCATCGTTTATCATAAGTTTATCTTGTAGCATCCATAGACGTATATCCCTTACACAGTTTTCCATGGCAGTCACCGCTTGCTCTTGGTTGTCTGAACTACAAGGTTAAAATGACAAGTATAATTGGGTGTCGTCGGCATAGCAGTGAGTGTTAGGCACAAGTTCCCCCTCAGGTTGCACATGGAGAGTGGGGGAGACCACTGGGATTGTCATTCGAACGCATTACCATTGGTGCTTGATTCTCATGCTATGGGGTTATGTACATGTACATTCAGAATAGAATGAGTGCTGTATGTACAAACCAGGTGTGTCATAGAGCTATACTAAATTACTAGAGCACTAATTCCTCATTCTTGCGCATGGAGACACATTGAAGCTGTCCTGCGCGCAGACATTTTGAATTCATGTGCGTGTTTGTAGAACATAATGAAATTACATGGATTGAATTTTGAAAGTGTACTCTAAATGCAACGCGCTAGTAGAACGTACACAAATTAAGCGCGTCATGACGGTTTAAACAAAAACGTCACGGTTAATCATCTGCGGCTGCAGATACGTGCATGCGTTGCAGTCTTTGCGTAGAGCAAAATGAAACGCTCATTTGCTGATCGTGCATTTCGGTTTTGGGCGTATCGGCTTCGATAACGCACCTGTATAGAATACAAACGCAGATATGCAAATAGCCGTACAAAAGCCGTATAAAATTTCAAGTTTTCCGTAGGTTTGTGCACAAACATGGATGCGCCCAGCAGGCATCACTTTGTACATGAGTCAGTGCTCTGTAATTTAGCTCTTTGGTGTGCGTACAATACGTACATGTACACCCGAGGACTGACAGACTAAGGGAGAACAACAGATTCTTTGTTGACCTTGATCGTTTATCTTTTGTTGAAAACGGCCCTCGATCATGCGTTTGTGCTAAATCTATGGGAGAGTTGTTATATTACAGGGACAAAGGAAAAGACAATGGCTTGTCCTCCGGAGTTATGTTAAACACGACTGTGCATGTGGTGTGTCCCCCCAATAGAGCTTTCTAAAGTGGTGAAAAAAAGTACAATTGACTATTCGTGCACACAGTCCATATTAAAAATTTGTGCATCTTATTTATGTGTTTTGCATTGTTATTAAACTTATTTGTTTTTGTTTTGTTTTGTTTTTCTTCAGATCAGCAACCAAGACATCGGGATCGTCCTGTTTGATCAGCGTCTTGAGATCCGCATCCAAGGCGCGGAGGAAGAGGGACCGCTGTTTACAGCCGACCAGACAGCCTCGCTCAGCCAAGATGAAGTCAGTCAGCTTGCTTGGAACAGCATTGATGCTGCCTACGGTAGGTTTGGCTCGATTGGATACTGTGTTGCATTACTCTAAGCTCTTTTGGCTGTCCCAGAGGGGCCAGCCTATAGACCTCTTTGTATTAGGGGTGTGCATCAGTTAGGCCAAAAAAAAAAGTCTCCGGTTTCTGGTATGGAGCTTGCCCAAAAAGTGGTGCGACGACGCGTTTTTTAATTTTTTACCTGATTTTCTTGCTTTAAATGGCGGCTGATGACTGCAAATGGTGCCTGACTAAACTTTGTGCAAATATATGGGAGTCCAGAGAGGCCACATAAAGCTTATTCTCGACCATAACCCAATCTAAAAACACGTTAAAATTGTGCAGCAGCAGGATTCCAGTCAAACCAGTGAGTTTTGCGGTTTTCAGACATCATCTTTCATTGAAAAAAAACCTTTTTCATTTTGCCGACGCGCATGGCTACGACGACGCGCGCGCATACCAGAAACCGGAGACTTTTTTTTTTTTGCCTTAGAGGGCCCTCTTTCTCATCAGTTTATTCAGATTTTAAAACCCCTTGGGTTAAGGGTATCTGAATCAAGTCAAAACTTGTCGTTTACTTACTTCCTCTAGTTTAATTGCTTAAAGCAAAGAACTCATGGCAAGTGGCAAATTTTGAGGATTTTTTTGGGGGGAGGGGGTGCACTGGTATTTATGGCACTTTCCCCCCAGGGCCCCCGTTCCCCCCAGGGCCCCCTCCCCCAACGCCACTGTTGACTGTCTGTCACTCGTCAATTAGGCTGGTTACCTATCTCACTGACTGACTGTTCACTTTTAAATTAAACTGATTACGTATTTCCATCACGTTACCACTACAGCTTTAATTCTATGAATTGTTTAGCCTTCGCGTACCCATTCACGGTTTTGCCGAATTACAAAACGGCTACTAATGGAAATTTCCAAATATGCGTCTCTTGACTCGTCATTGGAAAGACCTTCTTTTATTGTTTTCTTCAAAATGACAGTATCGGTATGCCAGAAGGAATAATTTCACAGGGAGTTTAAAGCCATTACTAGTTTCTTTAAACCAAGTAAGCTTTTTAACAATAATTTGGACTTATTGGATAGCTACAAATGTTCTACTTTACCTTTAACCAAGGCATAATATATGCCTCAAAAGCTTGATAGATTATTCATTTATACCTTGAAAGGACTTGGATTTCGCACCTTTCTCTGAAGTGTTTTGGAGTCTCTTCATTGACTCTTTGTGATATTTACCCCCTTGTTCTACTTCTGTTTAGACCCTCCTAAGACGCCGATCTGTGCGGCTGATGTGTCACTATCAAGTGGGGAAATCTTCCCTCCAGATGCTGTTGACGCTGAGAGTATCGTTGGTAAACTCCATCTGCCCATCACGCGCAATGACACCACAGACTTTGCGAGGTTGGTGATTGGTCAATCCTCAAGCACTTTCCATTATGCATGTGGACAAAAACATGAATGCCTCTCAAATGCCCTACTGCCAATGGTGGTGCTATGCCCCCCAGTTCTCCCCCCCCCCAACCAAGAAAATCAAACACAAGAGATTAAAGGTATAGTCCATCATTTGAAACTTGTGCATTTTGTTCGTTTGACGCAACAAAAGAGCTCAAAATCTAAAGAAGGGTGCTGCACAATTAACCTAATTAAGTTTCAGCTCAGTTTCACTCAGCTGTATATTTCGAGAAAAAAAACATTCTAGGATCTCGATTTCAAATCAAAGGTTGCTGAATCATGTTTTGAATTGGGCTTGAATTCAGCGTCTGAGACACATTCTAAGTGAGTTGATTGCAGCTACGTGATGTGGCGCATCGATCCAACGAATTATAGCAACCACGCCGAATAAAAAAAACGAACTACTAAGGCCCCCCCCAAAAAAGTCTCCGGTTTCTGGTATGGAGCTTGCCCAAAAAGTGGTGCGGCGACGCGGCTTTTTTTTTTTTTTACCTGTTTTTTTTTTTGCTTCAAATGTCGGCTGATGACTGCAAATGGTGCCCGACTAAACTTAGTGCAAATATATGGGAGTCCAGAGAGGCAACATAAAGCTTATTCTCGATCATAACCCCATCTAAAACCACGTTAAAATTGTGCAGCAGCAGAATTCCAGTCAAACCAATGAGTTTGGCGGTTTTGAGACATCATCTTTTATTGAAAAAAAACCTTTTTCATTTTGCCGACGCGCATGGCTACGGCGACGCGCGCGCATACCAGAAACCGGAGACTTTTTTTTTTTGGCCTAACGGAAATGTCCAACGGTGCTTCTTAAGACGCACCGTTGGAAAGGCCTTCTTTCGTTGATTTCTTCAAAATGACAGCTTGCCAGAAAGAATAATTTCGCAGGAAGTTTAGTCCCCTAGCTATCTTTCAACCAAGTATGTTTTTCAACAATAATTACGCCAGTTACTTTTTGGATAGCTGCAAATGATGGACTCTGGCTTTAAATGAAAAAAATTAAGGTTAAAGAAAAAAGCCAAAGGAAAGACTCGAATTCAATATTTTACTGTGCATTGAATGTATATTTAAAATTGGAAACTATCGGAAATGGCCCTAAAATGCGGCTATATGTACAGCCCCCCCCCCCCAAAATTACATGTAGGTGTTTTTGCTGCGGGATAGCAGCTCAACAAATGATCATGTCTCTCCATTGGGTAGTTAGTTAGTTAGTTAGTAACAAACATTGACATTGTCTGTTGCACCCACAGTACATATTTTGAACGATTTCAACCAAACTTTGTCAAAAGTATCAGTAGCCCAGCCCCAACATGTCACATGACCAATCTGGGGTCAAAGGTCATCATGGGGTCATTGAGGTCAAAAATCTGATTTTTTAAAACTCAAAATACTACTCCTTCCAAAAATTACATGGCACAATCACGTGACTTGTGCATGAACATGAATTCGTTGGCTCGCGGCTCCTGAGATAGGGTATTTCTGATCGAGCTTGTTTCATTATCATTTGGCAGTTTTCTTTTTGAATGTTGTAAATGGTGTACATTGCCTTTAAAGGGAAGATACAACATTTGCAAACATCTCAAAACGAAATGATCAAATTATCACAAAATACCTTACCGGATTGTTAGGGAATGACAGTCTAAAAGCATCCTGTAAAATTGTGGCTCCTGGTGTGCCAACATTTTCAAAAAAAATTGTATTTTTCCAACACTGGTCGGCCGACCAGCGTTGGAGAAAACTGGCTTTTTTCAAAAACTGCTTGCAAACTCTTTGCTGCAAAAACTGCAAAAACTATTTGCAAGTGATTACACACCTGTGAAGGGGTACAAGCCTGCTAGACTGATTCTCTGAACTTACAATTCCCCCAAAGTCTATAAATTCTCTGTTTCATCTTAAGTGGGGTCAGGGAACCAGACTACAAGAAAATGAATGATTTTCTTGGTTTTTCCAGCATCTACAAGCCCAAAACGTGAAACAAGTCATTTTAACAATATTTGGTATAACATACTAATCCTCCAAATCCATTTGTTTCTGAAAATTGAAGCAAAAGCAAATGTTGTACATTCCCTTTAAGTGACAGTGTGATCTTTTTTTGGATGTCGTCATCCGTTAGGTTGGTCCAGTACCCGGGATCGCTGATAGCTTTTGAGAATGAGGAGCGATCGGCTGCCTGGTGTGGGGTTGAAGACAGAAGCTGTGTTGATTGCACAGCTCACATGAAGGGCTTTGCCTTGAACAGCAGGTAAGTTGGAGCTTTTATGAAACCTCGGCCATCATGAAGTTGATGTCCCCGTGCATTTTTCAAGTTTCAGCCCCCAAAACAGATCTTGATTTCAAAGTCTAGCAATTCTAGCAATATAGAAGTTTTTCACTTTTGAAGTTTAGGTTTACATGTAGGTATGGAATAACTACTGTACATTATTTGAGGCCTAACAATAATATAGGAGATTAGTAGTGTTCCCTAACGTGGTGTTCTTTGACGTTTCCCTCGACTTTCCTCATGCAGTGTTGCCAAACTTCTTTGTTGACAAACTTAAAATTCATTCAGTTAAATACTGGTCGTTTTTACCTTAACAATGCTTGCTGTTGAACCTCTGTGAACAATTTCAGTGTCATGGAATTTGGTCCGAAATTCAAAAATGGTAGCGTCCGGAAACTGGCCACAAATCAGCTGAGTGTTCCCTGACGTGGCGCACTTGAGTAAATCTCAGAAAATCCCAAGTTAACATTTAAGAATTTCTGTAAAGTTGATAAATTCTGATAAACCATTATTATTTCTACTTACATACCCAACTAGAAGTTTGTCAAAATTTTTGTTCTCTTATTTTCGGGGGCATTTTCAAAGGGTTCACCGTGCACATCAAAATAAAATCGAAAAATCACGCCAAAATCAATTTTCTCTGCTTACCTTGTAACAGGTAGATAAACTCACGATTTATGAACAGGAATGTTAAGAGCTGGATGAAATTTCACGTTCTGTGAAATTTCAGTTAAAATTTTGCTCTAGCAGTGCGCTAGAGGCGAAAAATCAAAGTGCACCATGTTAGGGCACATCAGCAACCTTTTGTGAGTCAGGGGCGCAAAAACAACCCATATTTTTCAGACGGTTGAGAACGTACAAAATAGAAAAAATGTTTTTGGAGTAACATGACATTGAAAGTTCGGTAGAAGAAAAACAATTGAATATGTTGAAGAGCATGGGTAGAACGTCGGTAATATTTTTGTTTGTTTAAATAATTTGTTTGTGAAATTGTTTCGGTATCTGCAGATGTGCTGACCGCACTATGAGTGCACGCTTGATGGGATTTCTAAGAACACTGGGGAAACTCGTCAGCAATGAGTGGCCGGGAGGTATCGTGATTTCCTTGAATTTCAGTATTCATGATTTCATATTTGTATTCATAAATTGTAAAGATGGAAAGGACAGACAAATGAGTGACTGCAGATGAAGAAATTATTGTATAGTACATGTAATTTAAGCACTAAGCAAAATTCAGCTGAGAACAAAATCAAGTACATCACATCACATTATTGATGAGCAAAATGTTTTTGCTTACAAAATTTCTATGCTCAGTGACTGCATGAAAGTTGCCGTTGGTATCATTTGAATGGGTAGAGTCAAACTCACACAAAGCTGAGAGGGTTTTGCAGACCACGGATTCGTTTGGGCTTTGGTTTTTGCATCACCTCTGGAATGTCTTGAATATCAAGACCAAATTGAAACATTTAATCTGTAAAACCCCAAGTCTCATTTCATATATTTGAAGTTCTTTGTGCGTATGGACCTACATTGTGTATGATCCCTCCAAGTTAAGGGCCAAATATTTTCCCCAATCTAATATGGAGACAAAGCAGATGTTTTGAACTGTCTTTTGTATCAGTGAAGCTGAACTGAAATGTAAAGCTCCATGCTTGAAACTATTTTGATATCAATCTCATATCTCGTATCAAAACTGATTTCCGTTAACAGCTGTCAATTTTTTTCATCCCAGTTAAGTTACTGGTGTTAGAAGCCTGGGATGAGCCACACGACGGCAGTGCACACACTGATGGGGACCAGCCAGCTGGTTCCCTGCACTATGAGGGCCGTGCAGCAAAGCTGGCCTTGTCGGACGGAGATGTCTCTAAGCTCAATCGTCTCGCAGGAATGGCTACCTGTGCTGCTGCTGATTATGTGGAGAATAAAGGTCAGAAGTGTAACACTTACTCAATCAGTGTTGGCCACACCCTGCCACACCCGGCCACACCCTGACATGACCTGCTTTATTTTACTATACCAGAACACTGGTTCATCCTGCCACACCCACCAGCCACACCCTTCCATACCAGACTAGCAGTACGCGCCCACCACAGCTGGATTCGAACCCCTGACCTCTGATCACGAGTCACGAACCCCTACCAATAGCGACACTCCCCGACCTACTCCCCTCCCCAAGCCTAATATCAGTTGCATCTGTCTTGGTTTAGGTGATCACGTCTTCATAGCCGCTAAGAAACAAGCCGGTGTGACGGCTACCAGCATCACCTTTGCTCGTACCGAGCTCCTTGTGGTTGAACCACCGGCCGCAGAGGCTGCGGGTTACCAGCTACCATCGGAGTTTCAGGGAACGGAGGACCAACGACCACTCTTTGACAAGGATCATCAGGTAGACTCGTATTGTCTGTAAACCTGCTCGACAGAGGGCGCTGTTTGATCACATTGATCACGCAGCTTTGAGGAAACAGTGGGTCAACTATCTCTCTTGAAAGGGATCATTCGATAGATCCTCGTCTGTAAACCAAGGCGCTAATTTATCAAATTGATCAGGGCCCAATTTCATGGCCCTGATTCGGGGCAAGCTCTTGCGTAGTTACGTAAGAGACGCTCAGCACCAATACATTGCTCACAATGGGTGAGAATGGCACAAAGACACCAGACCATGCCGGAGCTGGGGGTTGCTAGCATAAGTCTTGCCCCAAATCATGTGATAAAGTAACAGTCTCTTTGGTCTGGAGAATTCAAAATTAAAACGTACCAAGCATTGGATTAAAGTCAGCGTCCCAGATTTTATTCAAATTTAACTCGCAAATGGCTTAATGAGGATACCCTGCGATGTATTATCAAAAGTGCGGCATATCTCATGACGTTTGAAGTTCCTAGTTACAAATCTGCAACACACCAATAGTTATTACCAGCAAATGGATATTTTTCTATTTCGTGGTCGTTTTCTTTAGATGGACGTGTTGCTGTCTGACAATTCCACTGTGAAGCAGTTTGCATCTGAGGATGGCCGATATTTTCGTCTGAGTCCCCATCTCCTCCTGTGCTATCAGGACCTGATCAACCAAGAGAGGAAATGGAGCCTGGCTAATTCTGGTTTGTCATTGTGCTGTATTCTCTTTTTTGATATTCACCTTTAGAATTTATTTCTTTAAAACAATATATTTACATTTGCCAGCTTAGCTAGCAAGCACTGTGTTTTTGCCATGATATTTTGTAACCTGAGAAACCTTGTGATGTTTTTTTCTCACTAGCATGTTTTAAGTCTTGATAGTAAAAGTAAAGTTGAGTCTGTCGTGAGCCAATGTGGCCCATCAGGCCAGCATTTATCTCCGGTTTCAGTAACGTGGAATGACTGAGAATATTTCTATTTCCCCTGGATGGGATGCTAGTCCATTGCAGGTTACTCCCCAGCTAATGCCGGTACCCATTTATACTCCTGGGTGGAGAGAGGCAAGTGGGGGTGAAGTGGCTTGCCCAAGGACACAAAATATGGCCAGCAGCTGGATTCCAACCCCTGACCCTTGGAACATGAGTCACGAACCCTAACCACTTGGCCACACTCCCCCACTCTTCATCCTGATGCTATACTGATTAGTGTGGCATAGTGGTTGGCGTTCGTGACTCATGATCAGAGTGTCAGGGGTTCGAATCCAGCTGCTGGACATAATGTGTGTCCATGGGCAAGCCACTTTACCTCCACTGGGCTCTCTCCACCCAGGAGTATAAATGGGTACTGGCATTAGCTGGGAAGTAACCTGCGATGGACTAGCATCCCATCCAGGGGGAATAGAAATATTCTCAGTCGTTTCATGCTAAGACAACCAGAGATAAATGCTGGATTGCTAGGCCATATTTCCTCGTGACAGATTTACTACTTACCACTATACAGCGCTGAAAACTATTCCTTTTTTCCCCTTTTGCTTCAGAAGTGAAGATCAATGTCATTCAAGGTTTTCTGACCAAGGAAGAACACGACAATATCAACTTCCTGGATCCCCGCTACGGCTCCCCCATTCTGGGTCAGGGCATGGAGTTGACCTACGACCCCGAATCTTCAAACGAGATGACCCACCACCCGGAGCGTTTGATGCGGCAGGCTCTGCTGGAATGCGGCCCTCGATTCATCAAAGCTGGCGTCAATATTGGAGTTGGTGAGTACGGCATTGGGTGTGTTGGAGTGCTTCCCTGAGTCAACTTCTGTTAAAGGCCAACTGGTTAAAGCTACATGAGCTTTGCCAATCGAATGCTCAAACGGCAATGATCTAGCCTTGGTCAATAGGTCTCTCTCAAATGACGTCATTTCCTACAGACCAGCCACGCGCATCGGCATTTTGAGTGTCAACTTGCAAAACGCGCATCGGCTGTGTCGTACTTCGAACACATTTTGAGCAACAAGCGTGTTTTTGGAACATTTTCAACACTGCGCAATACGTGCATGATTGTGTAAACTACGCAGTTGCAGTTCTCCTACAAAGATGGTCGTCTTTGAGAGAGACCTATCGATGGTCGGCCGCGACATAAACAGTAGCTGGCGCTATATATGTGATGCGATCAGACTAAATGAGTCGTTTGTCGGGAATTTTCATTTGAAGATCCAGGCCAAAATAGGACCACTTCATCACATCACTTCATCACATCACTTCATCACATTTCTTGGTGTTCCGACTTCCATAATTTTTGAACTAAAGATGGTACCAGCATGCGGTTTTCACAGCAGTAATGCTAAAACAGTGCTCTTTTCAAATCTGTAAAAATAAAATTGACCAGGGTCGACAAACGACTCATTTAGCCTGATCGCATCACATATGCACTCACACGTACTGTACGAATTATGAAGCGCAAACAGTGACCTTACGCGAGGCTTCAATATGCAAATCAGTTAGTGCTGGTCAATGCCTTGGAACAACCATTTTTATTTTGTCACTGGGTTTCCCGCGACGGCCTCGTATGCGAATAAAAATGAAATTATTTTTCAATACTTGGTCTTGGAGGCTCATATTTTACATGGATTCAGAAAGCTGGATAGTGTGGTTACATTCGCTAACAAGATTGGAGTCCCCAGACCGAAATCAATCCAGCGACAAAATGACGAAAATTTCCCGAAAAAGATTGTTCCAAGGCATTCGACCAGCACCAACTGATTTGCATAACTTGTAACCTCACTCTTCAAGAGTATTTGATTTTAAAACTTGGTTTTGTGTTTGTTTTATACCAGGTCTGTACGATAGCTCAGTCTTTGTTGACATGCGTAAGGATTTCCACGCCTGGGTTGAAGACGGTAATCTGCTCGGTCCCGGGGAGACGGAGGAGGATTTTAAGAACGAGCAGTTACGATGGCTAGTCAGGGCTGTCGGTAAGAGAAAAGGCTTTGTTCCCTTTTAAATTCAGTACAATTCAATTTAATGTTTTTTTCTTCATAAATGGGCAATTCCACACTAATGGGCCCAAAAGTGTGACATTTGAGAAGACCTTTAAGTTTTGATGATAAAACTACGATCTTGGTCTCTCAATTTTTGCTGTAAACATTGCAAGCTTCGAACAAATGTCCTCACCTGCAAATGATATAACTGGTTTTGCATTTTAGAAAGAATAGTGGATATTGTTTTAAAAAGTGTTCGAACGTGTCAAAGGACAGACGTTTTAGATAAGTAAGCATACAATTTAATGATCCCCCAATGTTGACTTATTTAAGAAGATGTACCTCGGAGGAATGCTATCGGTCAAAACCTAGAAAACCAAGAGTCAATGTGAAGAATTATTTGATATTTTATAATCAGGATTTATACGTACAAACAGACTGGACATTTGTCACAAAATGTCTGTCCCTGTTCGTACGTAACCCTAATCACATCATAAATTTGAAGCCAGTGTGAAAACTGTTATATTTTCGTTTGATAACAATGTAAAATGGGTCGATGTCACTGGAAGTGCCTGTTAGAAACTGAATTTGTCCTAAGCACCCTTTTCCTAGCAGTGTGTCTGTCCATGTTACATACGTATCACACAGAAAAGATGCCTGATTTTTTCCCAAATAAAAACATATCATCTTTTGTCTCATCTTGTCCTAGTCACTTTCAACTAAGCAAGGTGTAGGAAAAAACTAAAGAAAACACTAGCTCATCATTTACTCTTTATATACAACATCCATAAACTTATCTAATTGGCCCATTAGTGTGGAATTGCCCAAATGGAAATTATAGAACTGGCTTATGATACAATATGATAAAAGTATTGCACAGAAACTCAACCATCAATCCAAAATACCTAGTTATTTTCTACAAAGTTTATAGCGTAGCACTTTATGGTTGTCAGACTCTCTCGTAACCCAATGGTAATTTGAAGGAAGTTTGCCTTAAAGCTACAGTCCATCATTTGCAGCTATCCAAAAGTAACTGACGTAATTATTGTTGAAAAACATACTTGGATGACAGATAGTAAGGGGACTAAACTCCCTGTGAAATTATTCTTTCTGGCAAGCTGTCATTTTGAAGAAATCAACGAAAGAAGGCCTTTCCAATGGTGCGTCTTAAGACGCACCGTTGGAAATTTCCGTTAGTAGTTCGTTTTTTTTATTCGGCGAAGCTCGCGCAAGCATTGACACGACACACAGGCACGCGCGGTTGGTATAATTCGTCGGGTCAGTGTGCGGCATCGCGTAGCTGCAATCGGCTCAGTGAGAACGTGTCTCGGCCGCCCTATTCATGCCCAATTCAAAACATGATTCAGCAACTTTTGATTTGAATTCGAGATCCTAGAATGCTGTTTTTCTCGAAATATACAGCTGAAGCTGAGCTGAAACTTCATCAGGTAATTGTTCAGCACCCTTCTTTAGATTTTTTGAGCACGTTTGTTGCTTCAAACAAAGAAAATGCACAAATAACAAATGATGGACTAGACCTTTAATATTCTTGAAAAAAAGAAGCGAAACAAAACAATGCCTAGAGATGTAAAGATTATCCAGCAAATAAAAGGGACTATATACAAGGTGTCCCAAAAAAAGTTGTGCAAGCAGATATCCTTTAATTTCTCAAAAACTACTTAACATGAGTATTTCATCTTGATGGAGCATACATGTATCAATTATACTCTTGTGAATATTCAGTGAAAATGCCATGGAAATCCGTTCATGCAAACCAGAGATCTAACAGATTGTTAAAGGCTATGAGTTTTTCACCCATTCCAATGGGATTTACGCAGTTAGTGATATCAGTGCATCAGATTGTCATTGGTGTTTTCACTCTGATGCAAATTAAGTTAACTATGTAAATCCCATCCCATTGGAATGGGTGAAAAATACTATTGAAATGACTCTTGTGAATCAGTATTTGTGGCGTTTGGCTGTATGGGCTCCGTGCGCCAACGATAGAGGGCGCCCTTTTACCTAGCAACGATATTCCATGGGCGGGACATTTAGCTGGCTAACGCGCACCATCCCTTGTGTGTGACGCACGTGCACCAGGGGATTTGTACTAAGTACACACAGTGGTACGGCCGCGCGTCGCGGCAAAATTGCAGTCAGGCAAGATGGCGTCGGTCGGGCACCCCCATCTGTACTTTCTTTGCCGGTGAGGGGGTACTTGTGAACAGAGCGGATATCAGAAGTCGACTGGAAAATTTTGCCTTTTGCGAAAATCGAATTTTTGGCGAAATGTTAAGGCAACCTCCATTAACCCTAACTCCCTAGGCCTTTTTGCTAGGATGTAGCCTCAATCCTGCAAAGTCCTCCAATTGGCCCCATGGAAAAATAGCATATAGCCTCAATCCTGCAAATTCCTCCGTTATTTCTTGAATATGGTCCATGGAGAGGTGACCACTGCCTGAATCCTGCAAAATCCTCCGGCTATGACTGTCAATAGGCTGAGGCAGAGGCAGTGACATCCTGGAGCAGTACGGAGGTTGTCAAGTATAATCAAGGACTAAATTTATGCACGGCTGAGCATAAACAACACAAGGTCCGACCCAAGACCGCACTTTTGCCATGTAACCTCAATCCTGCAAATTCCTCCAATTTGCAAAAAGGATTTTGGAGGATTCAGGGCGGTTAGGGTTAACATTCCATTTGTTTTTGTTTTTTATTTCAGAGGGGCGCGTGGTAGACCCCATCGACCCTGTGCTTGCCTGCAGTGTCTCCTATCAGCCCAAGAAGCAGAGCATTGACTTTGATCACACCGCTGCGTCATCTGCAGGTCCGGCTGTAGTAGATGAGGAGAAATGCATCCCAAGAGAGAACACAGCATTCTGTAGCAAGACATCTTCTCATAGACAGGAACAGGTAATGTTCATGTAATGTGGTGTTTATATAGTGCTTTTACCAAAGCACTTCACAATTATTACGTCTGTTCATCAGGAATTGAGACCATTAATCTGAAGCAATCAGCGCAATCTAGTGTCTCTACCTTCACAAGTACCCATGTGTACTTCTGGGTAGAGAGAGGCAATTGTAGTAAAGTGTCTTGCCCAAGAACTCAAGCACCATTTTCCACGTAAGACTTAAAAGCCACGGTTTGAAAGACTTACATTGTATGTTCAGTGAGTTTGGGTTCGGTTCAGCAGTTTAGGCCAAAACAAAAAAGTCTCGGGTTTCTGGTATGGAGCTTGTCCCAAAAGTGGTGCGGCGACGCGTTTTTTTCCCCCCTACGTTTTTTCTCTTCAAATGTCAGCTGATGTTGCAGATGACGCTTCGATCCCCTTAAAACTCTCAAAAATAACCTTCAGAGTGGAGCTTGAGGTGACCTCCAGGCCATAAGGCTTGAGAATTCTGCACCCACTGACGATCTCGACCGACACGAACATTCTTCCGGAAATTTGGATAGTCGAGACAAAAATGAAAAAAAATGGTAATGTCAGACCATACAGCGACATCGACATCGTGCATGAGCAACCAGGCTGGTCATTAGTCTGCTCCCTTACATATTGCGCTAATTAAAAAGCGTTTACAGGTTCCAGATACACGACCATCGCTCCCTCAGTCTAGCTTTCAGACGCGCAATTACAAAATTACAACACCGTCTGCAAATGGTGCCTGATTAAATTTAGTGCAAAATATATGGAAGCCCAGAGAGGCCACACAAAGCTTTATGCTCATCGTAACCACATCTAAAAACACGCTAAAAGTGTGCAGCAGCAGGATTCCAGTCGAACCAGTGAGTTTGGCGGTTTTGAGACATCATCTTACATTGAAAAAATAACTTTTTAATTTGCCGACGCGCATGGCTACGGCGACACACCTGCAGACCAGAAACCGGAGACTTTCTTCCTAAAGTACAAAAAAAGTCTGATTCGTAAGGTTCTGATGCTGTTAGTGCCCAAATGAAATAACACTTTTGTTATTGAAGGTGGAACGTATCTGGATCGAAGTGTCAAGGAAACATTTGCTGCATGATTCAGGGGAGGTGAGGGCAGCTCTAGAGGGCTGTGTCGGTGCCTGCTCTACCTGTAAAGAAGGTGAGGTGAAAGGGGAGGGGTTAAAGGGAAATGGGTGGAGTTAAAGGGGAGAGGGGTGGGGCTAAAGTGGAGAAGGTGGATTCAAAGGGGAAGGGGCGGAGCATCCGTTGCATGACACTTGGGAGGTCAGGGCAGCTCTGGAGGGGTGTTTGGGTGCCTGGTCTATTTGTAAAGATGGTGATGTGCAAGGGGAGGGGTTAAAATGAAGTGGGTGGGGCTAAAGGGGAAAGGGGTGGAGTTAAAGCTGAGAGGAGTGATTCAAGGGGAAAGGGGGAGTATCTATTGCATAAAACGGAGGTCAGGCGAGCTCTGGAGGGGTGTGTTAATGCATGTTCTACTTGTTAAAAAGGGGAAGGGTTACAGGGAAATGGGTGGAGTTAAAGGGAAATGGGTGTGGTTAAAGTAGAGGGGTTTGTTTAAAGGAATCTTTCAAACCTTTGGTCAGTGTGTTAATCCTCTCTGTCGTTTATTGTAATTTGTCTCTTTTTGTCTTGACCAATCAGGAAGTTTCTACGAGAAGAAGGTAGAGCATTGTAACAACTTCCTTCACTGGGTGCCTTTTGGTTTCCTGGAATCTAAGGACCAGACCAACCTATACGTCCGTGCCAACACGGAGATGAAGATTGCTGCCTGCCGCTCACATTGCATTGATAAGACTCCACTTTTCTCACTGATGGGTGAGTCATGGGTACAGTCATCATCAAGTCTGTCACAAGTTAATCACAAGTCAATCACAAGTCTATCACAAGTCTATCACAAAAAATCACAACTATATCACAAGCCTATCACAAGTATATCACAACTATATCACAACTATATCACAAGCCTATCACAATTCTATCACAACTATGTCACAAGCCTATCACAAGTATATCACAAGTCAATCAAAAGTCTATCACAAGTCAATCACAAGTCAATCACAATTCTATCACAAGTCAATCACAAGTCAATCATAAGTCTATCACAAGTCTATCACAAGTCAATCACAAGTCAATCACAAGCCTATTACAACTATATCTTGGTACTTGGAACTTGGTTGGTTCTTCTCCTATAGGACTTCCACAAGGGAGTATAACTAGGAGGCCAGAAACACCGGGCAAACCCCTTCTCTTAGTGATAAGTGTTACTGGGTTCTTTTACGGGCATTGCATTACACAACACACGGGACCTCCGGCTGTATACAGCGCCCGCGCGATCTGACAAACTGACAAATTGCATTCGTTGGTACTTTGAATGCACACCTTACATTAGCTGGTTACCAGCGAAATTCCGTATTCGTCACTATGTCAAATTATGAATTTGTTATTATGACTGATTCGCCACATGCACAGGAGGGGCTCCGAATCTCAAAATCCAGACAAGAATTAAGAATTTTGGCATAAATACTTGAAAAAGCAACCTTTAAAAACCACGACGACGACAAAATCTCAAAATTGCCAAAATAGTTGATTCGCCGGTTTGTCAGTTATGCGACGATTTATACAGGTTCACCCAATAATGGAATGTAAGCACTATTTGAATCTGTGTCTTATGTGCAGTTCCTACTGTTGAGGTGCTGTATCGTCCGGACCCCAGTCGCAGCGTCAAGGAGCGTCTGTACTCTGAGGAGAACAACCCGTCGCCAGTCTACGAATTACTGCAGAAACTCTATGCCATCCACGCGTCTGGTGTCCTGACTGTGTGGGTCAAAGATGTGGCTGAGCTCAACATTCTGCAAGAACCTCTGAAGGTGAGTAGTTTGTATTCTTAGTCATAGCAGGATTTGTATCTGAATTGGTGTTTTGGGGCTAAGGCTTACATTTATACAATGCATTAGATATCCGTAGCCATAGACAGAAACTCCTGTTTCAGATGTAACCTAATGTTGATGTGGTAGTTCTCTACTGACCTTTCACCTTTGTGACCCCTGACCCAGGGAGTCAGAGTGGTGGGGTGGTATTTACCATCCGTTCACCTCTGTGACCCAGGTTCGAATCCAGCCTAATATGGATCAGGTTTTTTAGTCACTACCCTGAATTCATTTTCTTCACCCAGAATGTTTTGTCCAAACAGATGATTTGAGTAGACAATTTTCAATTGTGACGTTCTTGATAAGGCTAGTACAAAACTTCACATGGAAGCAAAATGGTTCGGGTCATTTGGCAAACATGACAATGAAACCAGGGGTAGTATTGGGCAATTCTGTAAAATTCAACTTCTCTGTGTACGTCCGACCACATGATGTACAAGGTCTTTAACCAGTTCACGCTGGATGACGTGTATACACGCAAAGGTTTTGCGGTATTCGGAATGGATGACGGATAAACATGCAGGGAGTGAGGCCGGATATATCTGTCAGTGACCCGTTTATATCTGTTAGTGACTGTTTGGAGCAACAACAAAAATGACACAGAATACTTGTTTCAACAACTGTCAACAGCTGTAGTAAACAATATCTTTATTAACAACCCCGGTTAGGCAAACAATATGATTTATAAAATCCAGTTTTTTTAAAAGACTGGCCTTCAAAAGGACTTTGTTGAATGTTTTCAACTTTTAAACTGAGATTTTAAACTGAGGTTTATGATTGAAGACAATTGTGGCGACGATTCTTGAAATCGCATTTTTCTTGAAATCGCATTTTTCGATGAAAGAGGCTTTAGGGTCATTGTGTTTAAATGGTGATATTATTTGAACGGATTGAGCAATTTCAGTAATTATTCATCTTTTAGATTATGAAATTGGCTTTCCAGTCATTATTATGTTGGGTGCTACATATTTTTTAAAATATAAAATATAATTTTTGGGGTTTGGGTTCCGCTTTTGTTGACTCACCCTGTATGAACTAATCATGTGGTTGGATTAGGAGTTAACCTTTTTTGTTTAACTCGCAGCACGATTTACCTCAGTGTGAACGGGAAAGGTTTAAACAAAATAAATGTTGTTTCAAACTTTTTTCTTTGTCATGAATTCCCTTTCCGTTCCAGGTGGCTATGCTGTACAACAAGAACATTACTCAGATCAAGTTCTACGCTGCTCCCTTGGACCAGCAGACCGTCGCGGGCAGGGTGGCGGAGTTAACTACGGAATGGACAGGCAGTGGGTGCACAGATTACACCAGGACCTTCCTGCCTCCGTACGGAAAGGTGGAGGATTTGCCCTCAGGTAGAGATAAACAATTTCGTGATTCTTAAAAAAAAATTAGGATTCAAATACAACACGGTTTTAGGGTTCGACTACATTTGAAATTCTGGCAACTTTTGGCATTGAAGCTGTTGTGACACTCAAGTGTCTGCCTTGAATGATGTCATAGTTTTGCTCATGAATATGGATATGAATGAATATAGATATTCATGAATATGGATATTCATGAATATGGATATTCATGAATATGGATATTCATCAATGTGGATATTCACAAATATGGATATTCATGAATATGGATATTCATGAATATGGATATTCATGAATGTGGATATTCACAAATATGAATATTCATGAATATTGATATAATAAATATGGATATTCATCCCGAAAATGCACAAAAACAACCTTGAAAGTGGCATTGTGAAAATTGAAAAAAAGTAAAATGGGACACAAAGGTGCATAATTTACAAGGATTGCATTAATGAAATTATTTTTTTCATGGGCCCTTTGCATTTTTTTCATTTGAAGCAACAAAAGTGCTCAGAATCTAAAGAAGGGTTCTTAACAACTAACCTGATGAAGTTTTAGCTCAGTGAATACTGTATATTCCGAGAAAACAATATTCTAGGATCTTGATTTCAATTCAAATGTTGCTGAGTCATGTTTTGAATTGCGCCTGAAATCAGCGTCCCTGACACGTTCTCATTCGGCCGATCGCAGCTACGCGAAGTCGCGCACTGAACCGACAAATTATAACAACCGAATGCGTGTGTGCGTCGCGTTAACGCTTGCGCACACCCATTCACGGCTTCGCCGACTTAAAAACGAGTTACTAATGGAAATTTCCAAAAAAGCATCTTTAGACGCATCTTTGGAAATGACCTTCTTTTATTGTTTTCGTCAAAATGACAGCATGCCAGAAAGAACCATTTCACAGGGAGTTTAGTGCCAGAAAGAACCATTTCACAGGGAGTTTAGTACCATTATCATCTTTAAACCAAGTGTGCTTTTCAACGATAATTTTCTCAGTTACTTTTTGGAAAGCTACAAATGATGCACTCCGAGAAGCACTATTTTGTATCAGTGAAAGTTTGTCAAAGTTTCTTTTCGACATTTTTTGCTGTTTTTGTTGTTGTTTCCTTCAGGTGTATCTAAGCGAAGCCCTGAGCACGACCTGCGAGAGTCCATGTTGAAACGCCGCAACAATTGGGAGCGTAGATGGGTGCTTGACAATCCTTTGATTTAGAACACATAAAGAAGACCTTGGGACCCAGACTAACATCTCACAGTGCGACTACTTTTTGCCCGTAGGGAAAAAAGGTTTATCGCATTAAAGGCGCATAGGTTCATTTGCTTTTCATGCATTTTGTTCGTTTCCAGAAATAACACCACTCAAAATCCAAAGAAGAATGTTCAAAACCTAACCTGTTGAAGTTTCAGCTCAGTGGATAGTACACTTTTTGCGTGAACATTGAAAAACAATGCACAACCTTTTGATCAGAAACATAAATTTGTCAATAGCACTCTATATTTTCAAAAAAACCTGTCAGTTGACTGATCATTGGAAATCACCTACATTTCTTGATTTCTTCTAAATGACAGCAAGCCAGACGGAATAATGTCACAGGGTGTTTAGTACCAGAACGTCTTTTAATCCAAGTAAGCTTTTCTGATAATAGTTCAGTCGGCTAGTTTTGGGATAAATTCAGAAATGACCCTATATGCCTTAACACAACTGTGGATCTTAACATACTTATTCCTACGACTAGGCACAGTTTAAATTTGTAGACTACTTAATAATTTTTTATCACTAGATTTTGTGATTGTATCATGAAAGACTACCATTATTCATATACATAAAATTTTGTAAGAAATTGATTTTGAAGTGAATAATTTTTTACTTGAGTACTCAGAGTAGTGTGTTTGCACAACAAAGAGGGCGCTATAAAAATGGCGTTTGCTGCCCTCTAGTGTTTCGAACATCTTCCACTCTTGAATTGATATTAGTAACTATGTATAAAATAAATCAACTCGTCCATTTTTGATGCACACATTCCTATTTAATGCAATAGCACTTTAATATTTTTTTTGTTACAAATACAGCTGTAGTGACTTACATGTACTTGCTTTGCAATTTTACTTGTTTTTTTAGAAAGGATTTGTAGACTTATTCTTGCTAAAGTTGCTTTACCCATGCTCTTAACAAGTTCAATTGTTTTTCAACTTAAATGTTTTATTCTAACCCCCCCCCCAAATCCCCCCCCCCCCAAATCCCCCCCCCCCTTCTTGGCCCTGCAAACCTTTGAATTTGTTATTTTTAAGCTCTAATAGGAGCTTCTTCATGTCACTTGGTGGTTGGCCGGTCGGTCGGTCGGTCTGTCTGTCTGTCTGTCCCTGAAAATTGACCAAAAGTATTTGACCAAAAATTGACCAAATGCCATGCCGTCGTCAGTAAATGCACTCTTGACAAAAGTATCGGGAAGAAAAACGAGCTTTATCCTGATCGATGCTCATGCGCGTCTATTTTGCGTATGTCTGTCCCCGGAAAATTGACCAAAAACGAGCCGCCTGAGTTTCCCATAAAATGTACCTACCAAATTTTAATTTAAAGACAAAAGCAAACAACGGCAATGAAATACTTAACAAAAATTGTTTGTAACAATTTGTAAAATTATGTTATTATGTAATGTTATAGTCATGTGGTATACAGCGGTGTTTTTATGGGAAACTTAGGGGCTTATTTTGGTCAATTTTCAGCGCCTGATTTTCGCGTGGGACGTCGGCCCGGGCTTGTACGCACAATCATTTCATGCAAGACTTCCATGCAAGGCGGCCAGAGCTTATTGTGCACTCGCACTTCTTTTGATTTTGGCCACGAACAGATCTGCCTTACGAACAGACTGGTTCCCGGTCCGTACATTATCGATGCTGAGTTTGGTGCTGGAACCAGCCATCCCCGTGAGAATGGAATAGTTGCCGGCTGCAATTAAATTTGTAATGTAATAAATCAATAACTAAACGAGGCAATTTTCTGTCAGTCGATGTCTTTTAAAAATGAATAACGTTATATTGCTAGAAAAAATAGCAATTTACAAAAGGAATTTATATTTTGGGATATGAAACTTGAAAAAAGCAAAGGGAATGCAACTTTGAACAATGAACAAGGTATGAAACTGAAAGATATTTTGCCAAAGCTTTATTAGCTGCTGCAAACAGACAAATTTTGCCGAGAACAGTGTGAATTATTAAAATTGTGTTTGCTTCAAAACCTGTGTGCAGAGGTGTGCTGTAGGCCTTGGGTTTGCTTAAAAACGCTGAATGAAAAAAATTCTTCCATTTCCAACAACTTCAAAAATGTGTGTAATTTCCCCCAAAATGTGCCTTCGTCTTTAATTACATTTATACCACTAATCTTTCTTTAAGAAATATGTATTTTTTTTTATCATTGTGACATGACTGTAATAAAAAGATATATTTTGCTTACTCAGAATATTTTTCAAAGTGAGTGTCGCGCTTATATAAATACGCAGTTAACATTGTATTTTGTTTTATAGAAAGTTTTTTACTTGAACTTTTGCTTCCATAGAAAATTAAAGTCCAAATAAAAGTTTGATTACTCGGAGAGTCGACTGAGAATGTGTTTTTGTTGCGGTTCTGTGTATGCAAGTGTTTGTGTGAAAGAAGATATATACGTAGAATATTAATAATTCATTAATTTCAAAAAAATGGAAAAGTACCATTTCAAAATAATGATCCAATGACATTTAGATTTATAACAGAAAAAAAAATAAATTGAAAGGTACAGAGTGCGTCTTTTCTTGTGTAAACAATTACAAAACAATGACTTGTCAAAGAGTTGTCATAGAATCACTCATTTTCTGATGATAATTAGATTATTCATTAATTAATTGCACATTGATTAAAAATTTATTAAGAGTTTAGATGCATTATTTCCATATAATTTATATTCCCTTTACACCAAGAGTATAACATTTCAACCGACCTTACTGGCAGCATAATCTGTAATTGTTGATGTGAAAAATATGAAAATTGATTATTGACATATGTGTATTGATTTTTTTTTTTTATCAAAGATTCATGATCTTTGTTTTTTTTAATTATTGATTGGAAATGAAACACACTAGCCACGTTTCATACATAGCGCCCTCTCGTGGTGATAATTATCGATCGGGCCGGGAGAAAAAGATCTAAAAATGGCGACTCTTTTGGGGTCCCAACGGGTGCAAATCCTGTGTACTTGCGGCCTTAGTTCGCCGATTACTAAACTTTATTTCTGCAAACATTGCTTGAAGCTGAGATGCGGACGTTGTGTCTCTCACGAGGTAAGAAGAATTGAGAAAGTCGAGTTATTCGTGTTGGTTCATTGTGGATTTTTTTTGGGACGAGGTGATTTTTGTCATTTTCGGTGTTTCCGCCCACCCACGGCACACATGGCACATGTCTGCACAAAATGATCGACACGTCACGATTAATAAATCAAGTAACAGACGTTAGGCTACAGTTTATCTTTACTTGCTCTGTTATCATTGACAATTTGTTGGTGGATCATCATGGGTACAAAAGACCAAACTGACAATAAAGTACGGTCCAGAAAATGTCTGGTCCACGTCCATTGCATTTGCATTCCATTGTCATGATTGTATTGCAAACTGCATGCAAAAATACATTTTGCATGTTTTTCGGGGGGGGGGGGGGGGGGGGGACGGGCAGGACGTTACCTTTTTTTGGGGGGGGGAGTGGGTTATGGTTCTCTTTGACTTAATAACAGCAAATTCATTTAGATTTTCATTGTACATTGTTGGATGTTGTGTGAAATCAAAAATGGGAAAGAATTAGCTTGCCAAAATAATGCCACCTTTGAGTAACTCCAGCTAGGCCTACTAAAAAGAATAAGCCACTTCAGAGGTTGTGTACAAAGTCTATGGAGAGTCAAGAAACATTTCTAAGTAGGCCCTAGGGCTAGGCCTATATCCTAACAAAATTGGAAATTATGTTTCTCAGTCCCAGATTCGTGTCTTTTCAACAATTTTTGCAATGAATGACCTTTATTGAGATGATATATGAAGAAAAAAATTGGCGTTGGGTTGCAACATTCTTTCCCAAACATGATGAGTATTAGTATTAGCATGGAGGATTCCTCCATGGTATTAGTGGACACCTAGCTGGAGTTACCCAGCCCTATATTTTTTCATTGGGTTGTCATTTAGGGCTGGAGGAAGTTTTTCACTTGGACCTGCAGCATTGGCAGGTCCAAAAAAAAATTTCAAAAATGTGCAATTTTGTCCCCATAACACACTGATTTCAACTGGGACTCACCCAAACCTTGCCTGGCATAACCATTACACAGGTCCTTGAAGAAGAAAAAAACGATCCACAATGAAGATTCAGCCTACAATTGCCGTGAAAAAAGGAGGCATAACCGACAGCCGTGCGGCCCTGATGATGCCCGGTGCTAGATTTGTGCACAAACAAACTGCAAAGCGCTGTCGATTACCATGCACACACAGCGAACCACCAGTCACACTTGCCAACTACACGGCGCGGCATGGCGCTGAAGCGCGCACCCGACGACTGTTTGATGCACTATTGCTGCACTAGCTATGAGGCTTCACTCGTATCACGGCAGAGGTAGAACGGCAGCCGAAGTTGGCCGACAAACGGTCGTCGGGTGCGCGCTTCAGCGCCATGCCGCGCCGGGCCGTACAGTTGGCATTGTTTTAGAGTGATTGACTTAGTTTTCAAGGGGTGGATTATTATAATCCAAATGCTAGAAACACGATATGTGATATCAAAGTAAATTAAAAGTATGTATGGAAATTATTCCAATCAAACTTTTTTCTGTCATTAGGTGGATTCCCACTATTGCCCCAACTGCCTGGAGAATATGCCCTCAGCTGAGGCAAGAATCAAGAGAAATCGGTATGCAGTTAGAATTCAGATTCTGAAGTGGGTTGTTCTCGACCAGACGTATGGGGGATATTTTGTTATGGCTGAGCACAGCTCCAATATGTCTTGAGCCACCACATATTTGCTTGCTATACTTGTGTCTGCAGCATAGTTTTATGCCACACTTTTGTCAATGGATATTTAACACCCATTAAAATGGGAGCTTCTGTGAAGAATGTTATCACTAATTTGCATTTTTAAAACTGTGTACACATCTGCTGATCTGCCATCTCGACAAAAAATATCATTTAGGGATGTTATTCATACTTATTAAAGGGAATATACATCATTTGCTTTTGCTGTAATTTTCAGAAATTGATGGAATTGGGGGGTTGGAAATATATAGCAAATATAGTTACACTGACTTTTTTGAGGTTTTGGGTTCGAAAATGCTATAAAAACCAAGAAAAACAATCATTTTCTTGTAGTCTGGTTCCCTGACTCCATTTAAGAAGAAACAGAGCAGTTTACATATATTGGGGAATTGTAAGGTCAGGGAACCAGTCTAGCTGGCTTGTACCCGTTCATAGGTGTGTAATCGATTGCAAACAAGTGCGATGGTCAACTGGGGCCAGTATTTGAAAAAAAGCCAGTTTTTTCCAACGCTGGTCGGCCGACCAGCGTTGGCAATCTATACACAAATACCACTTTTCTTGAAAATGACAGTATACCAGGTGCCATGATTTTACAGGATGCTTTACACTGTCATTCACTAACAGTCCTGCAAGGTATTTCAAAATGATTTGAGAGTTTTATTTTTTGATGTTTGCAAATGTTGTATTTTCCCTTTAAGCTCATTGTCAATTTTCAGCAGTGGCACCCAAATCTTTGACAGCAGCCAATTTAAATGCAAACTGGAGCACGCATTTTTCAGCTAGCATTTGAAACTTGATCAAATATATTTGAAGATTCGATAGAATTCAGCTTTAAACACGAGCAGCACTACTGTTGTTTACTTTGTAAATGTACTTGAAAGCATTCTGGCCCGTTCTTGTTTGTAAATATGCATCATTTTATGTTATTTGATTGAAATGTAGATAGTAGACACTTGAAGCAAATTCGTCACATAAAATCGGAACTTTAGGGTGGATTAAAAAGCATTTCAAAAATATATAAGGGAAGGAAAGACAAAAATCCCCAGAGAATTAGTAAATTTGAGTAGACAATCAAATTGTGTGTCAGTTTCAGTTGTCAAATGAACATATCAATTTGAGATACGTTTACAGATTTGTAGTAGAATAAACTTTTATTTCGCTGATTTCAGACCAAATAACAACATAAATTTGGCCTATATGTGATGCGATCAAGCTAAATGAGTCGTTTGTCGACCTCGGTCAAATTTTTTTATTACAGATTTGAAAAGAGCACAATCTCAGCATTACTGCTGTGAAAACACATGCTGATACCATCTTTAGTTTAAAAATATGCAAGTCGGAACACCAAGAGATGTGTCGAAGTGATGTGGCCCTATTTTGGCCTGTATCTCCAAATGAAAATTCCCGACAAACAACTCATGTAGCTTGATCGCATCACATATTTGGCTAATTTTGTTACATGCCAGCATTCAAATGTAGCATTCATCAAGATAAACAAAGTCACAAAAGATAATTTTTACATACCACCACTGCAATCCTTGTTACTTCTAACTGTTGTCTCTCCACTTTCAGTTGCCCAAACTGTCTAGACTGTCCGAGCTGCAAGCACACGCTATCGACGCGGGCCACCAGCATGGCAGTGCCGGACGCCAGTGATCCGTCCAAGGCAACCACGAAGAAGGTATACTACCTGGCTTGCGGATTCTGCCGCTGGACTTCAAGGGATGCTGGGATATCGGACAAGGAAGTGGGTAAGTGACGAAACGGTTCCTTGCCAGATTGAAAAATGAGGCCATTGGGTAGTTAAGGGCACCGGAGACCTGAACGCATGACACATGTATTCACCGTTGATATATCGATATTACTCGATTATTTGATATTATTTTAATACCGATATCGACGATGGCAATTTTTTAATAACATCGAAATATCAAAATTTTCGATAATGAGGAATGATATCAAAAATATCAAAAATGCGTCGCATTATCGTCAAAATAAGATTCTCGTTTGTGTTTAACGTTTGCTGTATAATAAACTAAAACTCGGCGTCAACGTGTGCTTGTGATGCAAAATTAAAAACAGCGCAAAATGCCAAGCGGTGTCGCTTTGTGCTCTGCGTTCGCTGGAATTCACGGTCTCCCTAATGTAAAACCTCAAAAGAAACCGCCCGTTCTGGACAAACTTGCAGTGCTGAGATTTGTTTTAAAAAGTTTGAGCAATATGCTACAGAGAAAGCCGTGGAGAATTGGGACTTAACATTTTTTTTGTCATCAAAGTGTCATCTTTATGGTGTATAACTTTTACATGGGATAATCGATATATTGGATATTCTCGATATTGGATTTTCGATATAATGGATTCTCTACGCACTGGCCGGTATCACACTTTTAATGGCTGTCCATACCATTTTGAGTCTGTGTTCAGACTACGCACTCCGTTCCTATCGGAGAACGAATATCCACTTTCAGGTTAGTCGAATCACCCAATTATTAGCCATGTTTTAAAACCAACAGGAATGTTATGGATAGAGGGCAGGGTTTAGAGTTTTTTGGAGGGAAAGTTTTGAATAACATGAGAACGAAGAAAACTAAAATGCAAAGCAAAATTAAAGATGGCGACCATAACTACAAAACCGCTGAAAGTGGCATTCGCTAGCTAAACTATATATGGAAAATGTGTCTATTTTATGCTTGACTAGTTTTGGTTAATAAAGCTCACTCATTTCTGTTTTTACTTGCAGCAAGCGGTGCGTGGGTTGAGCCAGCAAACGAACATACAAAGAGGGTAAATTACCTAACAATTTCTTTTGGTTGTATGTGAGTGATATAATGTTGAACTTAAGGTATCCCATTGTGTGATTGTTGATTCATTTATCACGAAAGTTGTAAAAACAGCCTCTGCTTGTGGTAATGTGCTTCAGAATATTATTGGATGTAATTTTCAAGAAATAACGGGGAATTTTGCAGGATTGGGGCTGTATGCAATTTTTACATGGAGGCAGTGGGAAGATTTTGCAGGATTGAGGTTGCATCCTAGCAACAATGCCTAGGGAGTTAAGGCTAAAGTTGTGAAAGGATTTTGAATTAACTGGTGGTAATTCTAATTTTTATTTTTTGAACAGTTAGTTTTTGGTCAAGTACGTCCTCTCAAATCTGATTTCGTTTTTTTTTTCCAAATAGATCCGAGAGCTCCTTGACTTCTACCGACAGCTGGCGGGCCGCGAAAAGATCGAACGGGAGAAGAAGAAGTACACTCGTCGGCGGACGTACTTCCACATTCAGGAGAAACTATCGGCTCCCACCTCCTCCGGAACACGACGTAGTAGCGGATTGCTGACGGCACTCTCCAGCTTCAAGTGAGATAAACTTACCTTTTACCTTTTTTTTTTCCAACCAACTGGCGTTGGTGCGAACTTAAAATTGCTTAGCTACGGAAGTTGCTTAGCTATGCTTATCTCACATAGGTCGAAGTGGTTGGCCTAGTAAACTAAATTTTCTTGATAATACTTGATAATAATGAATACCATGAAATTTTTTGGGACAGTATACCATGGACTCTCAAAATCCAATACCAATGATTCCTACGCTTAAAGCTACAGTCCATCGTTTGTAATTTGTGCATTTTGTTCGTTTGAAGCAACAAAAGTGTTCAAAATCTAATGAAGGATACTGAGCAACTAACCTGATGAAGTTTCAGCTCAGCTTCAGCTGTACATTCCGAGAAAAACAGCATTCTAAGATCTCAAATTCAAATCAAAAGTTACTGAATCATATTTTGAATTGTTTTGAATTGCAGCTATACGCGACGTAGCGCACTGATCCGACGAATTATAACAACCGCGCGCGCGTGTGCATCGTTCCAATATTTGTGCGTGCTGCGCTGAATAACAAAACGAACTACTAATTTAAATTTTCCTACGGTGCTTCTTAAGAATCACTGTTGGAAATGCCTTCTTTCGTTAATTACTTCAAAATGACAGCTTCCCAGAAAGAATCATTTCACAGGGAGTTTAGTTTCCTTACTATCTTTCAACCAAGTATGTTTTTCAACAATAATTACGCCAGTTACTTTTCGGATGGCTGCAAATGATGGACTATAGCTTTAACCCCATGTGATTTACCACCAAGACAAGGAAACCACCCCTAAATCCTCAAAATACAAAGGTCCGCTCTGATGCATAACCAAGCCAATGTTGGACTGTACCATTTCAGTTTGAAGGAGGGAGAGCAGGCAGAGGAGGTGACCATCAAAGTCATTGAGCCTATGGAGGATGCGGACCCGGTCCCAGCCAAATACTTCACCCAGCCGGTCATTCTGGAGAAAGGTAGGATTGTCGATGGTTCTACTCCCTCCCCCACTGACACAACCCTTAAACTCCGCCCAGAAAAGAGTAATGAAAACTGCCTTTCAGTAATATTAAAGCTACAGTCCATCATTTGTAATTTGTGCATTTTGTTCATTTGAAGCAACAAAAGAGTTCAAAATCTAATGAAGGATACTGAGCAACTAACCTGATGAAGTTTCAGCTAAGCTTCAGCTGTTCATTCCGAGAAAAGCAGCATTCTAAGATCTCAATATCAAATCAAAAGTTACTGATCATGTTTCGAATTGTTTTGAATTGCAGCTATACGCAACGTAGCGCACTGATCCGACGAATTATAACAACCGCGCGTGCGTGTGCGTCGTTCCAATACTTGTGCGCGCTGCGCTGAATAACAAAACGAACTACTAATTTAAATTTTCCTACGGTGCTTCTTAAGAATCACCGTTGGAAATGCCTTCTTTCGTTGATTACTTCAAAATGACAGCTTCCCAGAAAGAATAATTTCACAGGGAGTTTAGTTCCATTACTATCTTTCAACTAAGTTTGTTTTTCAACAATAATTACGCCAGTTACTTTTCGGATGGCTGCAAATGATGGACTATAGCTTTAACCCTAACTTTGCAAAACGCGACACAGTGCAACAGGTTGTAAAAGTCTGTGGCACCTTGCTGCATCGAGCCATCAACACCAGAGAATAAACAGCCAATTCTGAGACAATGAGAGCTAGTCCCATTGAACGATGCCACAGTTGTGTCCTGCTGCATTCAGTGACCACAGACTCTGAGGCAGTTAGGCCTTGGGGAGTTTTGACCTGTTGGATCTTGCTGCACTGGGCAGGGTTCTCACTTTGACATGTGTTGCACGTTGTTGACTAGTTGAGCAAGGGAATTTAGCCAAAATGTCCCATATGGAGGTTTAAAGGTTTACAAAAAGAAAATTGAAACATTTGAGGTAATTAGTTAATAGTGAAAGACAAAGAGATTGACAAATGAAAGAATTGACCAAATGGGGAATCTCTAACATAGGGCTGAATGGCTCAGTTGGTAGAGCACCGGAACGGCAATCTGGTTGTCGCAGGTTCAAACCCTGCTCCAGTCAATTTCTTTGTTTAACTTGAAAATTACTGAATATAATGCTTAATAGACACAGTTTCACATTTTCTTTCAAACTGTAAACTAACATTCCCTCCCCAAAACCATCACTTATGAACATTTCTCAAAGTTGAATAGGGCTGTCTTCCATCAGACGCCATTTCCTGTTAAATTTGTCAGAATCTCTTTCAAAAATGGATTGTTTGTTTTGATGGATGATTTCTCCCTCGGTCTAGTTCCCAGCATCCGCCAGCGTTTCTTACAGCCTGAGATGTCAGCGTCCATTGTCAATGATCTGTATCCAAGACACAAACATCTGCTCATCAAACGCTCTCAAAGATGCAGGGTGAGTTGGCTGACAGTGTCCCACTAAACCAGTACTGGGCAGTCGGGCGGTGGTATCCACTCATAAAATTTTCTGGTAATGAAACCAAGGATTCCTCAAAAGCACCCCAGGCACTGTAGCTCGCAAGCCTGAAGAAACCTGTAGAGAGAAGACAATGAAAAGACATTACAGTTTTAGAGATGGGAGGAAAACCCCAGAGTAATGTTCTAGGATAAAACCCACGGAATCAGGCAGGGACTGAAAACCCAATCCACATATTGGCCCAGGCGGGATTCGAACCCTGGTCACAGCGGTGGACAGCAAGGAAAGAACGCTCCACCAACCTGGCTCCCCTAGATCAACCCTCCTAGTCTTCTGGATTTGGTTTTCAGTCCCTGCCTGATTCGGTGGGTTTTCCCTTGAACAGCATTCTGGGTTTGGTTCCCACCTCTAAAACCGTAACACTTGAAGTTTTGCAACTTCACTTTTGCCAAAAGTGTTAGTATCCACATTTCAAATTCCTTGAAGTAATCTTCTGTGGAGTATGGATAACACTTCAAATCCCTACACAATTCTTGTGTGTGGTTAAGCTCAGGGCAAGCAGGCAGATTCAGTCACGCTTCACTGCTCTCCACAGTGCTGTTTTGTGTGCAGTGACTCTCTGTGACACAGTTACTGTAACACTTCATATCCCTTCACCTAAAACGGACCTGCAGGGTTTTAAAGGGTTTTACATATTGCTCTGAATATTGACGTCCAACTAGGAGATTAAAATTTGCTTCACCATACATTCTGAAGCGCCTCAAATTGCCTGAAGAAAATGCACCATGTTTACCTCGTGCACTTTATTGCAGCCGAAACGACATGCTCCAAGAAATCCAAAACTAATCCTATGATAAACGAATGAGCAAACTCCGAATCACTCCATATGGAGGGCATTGACATCTCCAACTAACTAGACAGGCATGCAACTTTTCCTCGGATCCGCTGATTTCCTCTTTTTTTAGTTCTCATGAATGCCTTTACAAATTGAAAAACACTTTACAAAGTCTTGTGTGTTTTGGAGTTTCCTTATTTTTTTTCTAAATTCCCATTTGCATGCCTGACTAGAGAACACAACTTTGTCTAATTCCGCACTTCCTTTTTTTTTCATTTTTATTATCGACAGGACTGCGAGCATAATCTGAGCAAACCAGAATTCAACCCTTCCTCCATCAAGTTCAAGATTCAACTCATCGCAATGTAAGACAACTGTTGTGTTTCTTAACTCACCTTTTAAGGTTCTTCACTTTGAAATCATAACCAGAAATCCCCAACGTTTTCAGGTTCCGTTGTGGGCATGCAACAAGTTGCACAGATTTATAGAAACTTAGTCGGCGACATTGTGTTTTGCATGTGGAGTGTCATGGTCTCATGGGCTTGGGCATCAAACCCAAGGTCTGTGGGTAATTCTGCAGGTTGTGGGTTCGAGTCCAGCCTGGGGTTGCACTGCGTGTGCCCTTGGGCAAGGCATTTTGTCACTCATTGCTTCTCCCCACCCAGGAGTAGATGGGTACCTGTGAGGGCAGAGATGGTTATTGTGGTTGATTTTAGCTGCTTTGCGCCGCAATGGCTGCATCAAGCTTCCCAGGGAGCTGAGATTGTCTTGGGAATGTTTTCATTAGCTTGATGAGCATCTGGACATGTGCTCCTTATAAATTCATAGAGTTATCATAAGCATTCCCGTTCCCATTCCCATTTCAAGAAGACATTTATAACATACTGCTTTAGAGAAATACATCCAGAAATAAAAGAAATCTGGTGAATAGCAAGATAACAAAATCAATAAATATGTCTCAAAAAATAATAAAAGTAAAAATACGCTTTGACGTCTACCCAATATCCGTCTGTCCATACACCCATAGGCATCACATCCCCGATGTCCGTATCTTCCTGGTCCCCAAGTTGAACTACCAGCGAGAGAGCGTGGTCACTCTCCTACTGACCAACCCAGTCCAGAACGCCACGACCGTCCAGCTAGAGGCACCGGAGAAGACAGATGAAGACAACGACGTGGCGACGGCCAAGGTAAAACCTAGCGTAGCTGAAAATACTTGCAGGCTTTCAAGTTTTCCTAATTTTCCTATTTTTTTTTTTTACCTTGCTCCTACTTTTCCTTGCCAAACTGGAAGGCTGAAAGGGATTAGTGTCTCTTGCTTCCAATTGGCTCATGGAAGATGGGCTTCTAAGATTCCAAAAGCAGCATAGGAATGGTCATGGAAAGCTCTAATTTTGTCCTGGAAAAGTCATTTTCAATATTTTTGAGGAAACCCTTTACAATGTATACTTTGTGACTGATTCTGTTCCGTAATAGTTTTGCCATTAATTAACCCTAACTCCCTAGGGGGTGTGCAAAATTATATTGAAATTGGAGGATTCAGGACTGTTACAGCTATGTCATTTTCTTCTGTGCCATCTATTTTTTAAATGTTTTAATTATTTTGATTGTCTTTGATTATCTTTGCTGAAGGTGATCGTACCAGATGAGGAATTGATTCTTGCCGCTAAGGATGACACCACGGAGTTTGACGATTCGTCTTCAGACACCAAAGATTACGACGACAAACCAGAGTAAGAAAGAAAACCATGGATTCTATTATTTAGAACTTCAAAACTTCAGAAAGATTAGGCTCGCTTTGGTAGTTTTTAAACTTCATTAGGATCGTGCTTCTGCGGATCCATATTGCCAATGAAGACATTTGTAATGTCTCTTCGTATTTTTGTTTTTCTGTTGTAGGTTTGTCCATTTCCGGAAGGCTCACAAACTTGGGATTCTTGTCAAAGTGACTCCGCTAAAGGCCGTTGGAGATGTCATTGTAAGTACTGGAATATTATTACTTTATTTTTCTTCCGTGGTCCAGAGTTGTTATGAGTCACAAATCATCCAGTTCGAAGTTAAAGTATTTAGCTGTTCACTAGCCCCATAAATGTGGCCAATTTACTGGACTACCTCCGTACATAAAGGCCACACTTCCACCGTGTACAAAAACATGTCGAACTTTGCCAAATTGTGTTTTTCACATTTAGGCTTAGTTTGTGCTACCTTTTTCAGATGTCTAATTTTCGTGAAATTTCATGTTGAAATTTTGATATGCAAGCGTGTACTAACGAATCTGGAAATTTCACAAAAACTAGACATCTGAAAAAGGCAGCACTTTCTGATTAGCCTATAAAGAGGGTGAGTATGCTTCTAAAGCAAAAATAAACTACAAACTAAGCCTAAATGTGAAAATCAAAATTTGACAAAGTTCTACATGTTTTTTGTACATGGTGGAAGTGTGGCCTTTATTTACGGAGGTAGTCCAGTAAATTGGCCGCATTTTATGGGGCTAGCTGCTCACATGAATTGTGCCAGTGACCATGGTGACATTCTATATGTTACTGTTCATTACATGTTACTTGTCAGTGTTTACGTGATTTGCTTTGTGCTTGACCTGTGATGGACTTGCGCTTGACGTAAGGTTGACGTAAGATTGACGTAAGATTGACTAGTGATCGACTGGTGATTGACTTGTGATTGAGTTCTGACAGATTGAATTAAATCACAATGTTTGACTTGTGATTTGACTTGTAATTGGTGTTTGATTGACTTGTGGTTAATTTGTGACTGACGTATGATTGACTTATGATCGAGTTGTGATGGAAGTGCAATCAACTTGTGTTTAACTTGTGATTCAACTTTTGATTAGTGTACTATTGACTTATGATTGACTTGCGATTATAATGACTCAAGTCAATGACTCGACTCGAGTCCGACTCGAGTCACATTTTTGGTGACTCGACTCGACTCAACTCGAGTCCCTAAGGGTAAATGACTTGACTTGACTCGAGTCGCTGCGAGCAAATGACTCGATTCGACTCGAGTCACTCATCAGAAGACTCGACTCGACTCGAGCGAAGGCTAATAAGACTCGAGTCCCAAAAATAAAAGCAAAACGTTGCGAAAAGTATTTGCAATGACTTATGGTGCAAAGTTCATGTTCACGTTACTTTGTGAATAGCAGCCGCGTGTCATGTACAAACATACGTGTCACAGACTCCCACCTCATGGTTCTAGAACGCACAAAATACTATCCAGGAACTGGATTTTAAATCTTCCAATTCGCTGTTTCATCGTTGGCTTTGGGCAATTTCTTAAAAAGCTCTTGTATTTGAACACAAGCTAAACTTATGGTCTCCTTTTGTGAATGTTGGTATAGTGTTCAAATATTCGTGACTCGAATTGACTCGAGCTAAATATTTGACTCGACTCGATTTGACTGGAGCTAAATATTTGACTCGACTAGATTCGACTCGACCTTTTGACCTAATGACTCGACTCGAGTCACTTCTTTAAGATGACTCGACTCGACTCGAGTCACTTCTTTGAAATGACTCGACCCGAGTCACAAAAATCAGTGACTCGTTACAACTCTGGTAATTGATAATGATTGACTTGTGATTTGGGTTGTGATTGACCAGAAACTATCTCTGTCATATTCTGCTAACCTTTCCAGATTGCTTTCAATCTCAAGTATGAGTACAAGAACGCCACGCCTTCCCTACGCAGCTCCACGGAGACCCAGAGCGAAGTGGAGACGGTCTGGTTGGAGCATCCCGTCTCTGTCAATCTAGGAGCACTGGCCCAGAACCAGTGAAGCAATCACGGAAAAAAAAGCTTCCCTGATTTTATCTCCTCATTCAATAGGTTACAGATAGGACAGGTGTCATGTTTGCGTTATTTCCACTTGCTATAACCAATTTGGCAACTGAATATGTATGAGGTATATTCATAAAACATGTCATAATATAGTTGATTCTTGTACACCAGCACTTACGAAAAAAATCTATCAGAGCTTTTGGCAACCATCTGACAGTAGCATGCTAACCTAAAGCACTTTATGTATTTCATGGTGTGGATGTTCTAACAATTGCACACCAGAGATTTCTATTGTTGCGTTACCAATTTAAGCAAAGTTTCCATGTAAGGTTAGTGTGTCTGTCGCTGTGCTCGCTGCTAAACTTCTCCATGCTGCTTAACTTATCCGACAAGGGCCCTGTTAGCAGAAAATCTTGTGCTTAGCATGAAGTCAGTTTAAAAAAAATTTGGGTTCATGTGGATGACCCCCCCAAAATGTTCCAGACGCGTGCATCATACGCACATGTACGCATGTCAGAGTTTCGTGCACGCAGGTTGAATATTAATCACAGCTTTGATTGGTCGCTACACCATTAGGCCAGGACGAATTGAACGGTCTGTTGCAAATGTAGTAGATTTTTGCTAAATTAAGCAAAATATAAGAAAGAGTTGAACTATCTTGTACATTATTCTCTGCATGCCGCTGTCTTGTAAGATAAGAAGTTTATGTATATTTATGTGTATGTGTGTATGTAAAGTAAGTAAAGTCTGTCATGAGCCAATGTGGCCCATCAGGCCGGCGTTTATCACCGGTTTTAGTAGCATGAAACGACTGAGAATACTTCTATTGCCCCTGGATGGGATGCTAGTCCATCGCAGGTTACTCCCCAGCTAATGCCGGTACCCATTTATACTCCTGGGTGGAGAGAGGCAAGTGGGGTAAAGTGGCTTGCCCAAGGACACAACATAATGACCAGCAGCTGGATTCGAACCCCTGACCCTCTGATCATGAGTCACGAACCCTAACCACTAGGCACACTCCCCATACGTGTGTATGACTATGACAATAATGTGCATGCGTAGATATGGTATCTATACAGTGAAATGTTCCCCATTCACAATAGTTATAGTGCAATCAATTGGATAAACAAATACTTATGACTTACAGTAAGGGAATGAGTCACTAGATGAACTTAACAGAATTTCGATATTTTTTTGCTCAAATGACATTTAGGGTTTTTACCAAGACGTTTCTGTTCTTATGATGTCTCATGAGATTATGACTGAAGTAAGTTGAAATGATAGCAAATAATGATCCAAAATTTTTTTTTTTTTTAATTTGGGTCAAAACTCAGTCTTGGACTTGCATGGTTTATATACTGCGATCATATAAAGAAAAAGATGTGAACATAAATGTTCATTATGTGTAAAAAAGTACTGTGGTTAGAAGTAGATCTATTTATTTATTTAAGGCACTCACATTTTGAGGTCTGGTGTTTTGAGGGTTGTTTTAATGATCATAGAATTTTTTTTTGCATTGGAAGTAGAATTTAGAAGCTTGCTTTTGAGCTTTGTCAAACAAAGATAAAAGTAAAAATGCTTTTAAGATCAATTACTGACTGTAGGCACTTCATATTCATAAAGATATATTAAGGGTATTGTCAGAAAATTAAATGTACTATCAATTACATGTGCATTTTGTTTTTCGTTTGAAGCAAAAAAATTACTCGGAATTATAATGTGCATTACTACTAACCTGTTGTGAAGTTTCAGCTCAGTGGATGCTTTACATCTTGAGATAACAGGGAATTAAGTACATGTGCATGTAACACAATTGTTTGATCTCATAAGAGGATTCTGTTCCTAAGTTTTTCGATCCAAAGGAACATGATTCTCATTCAGCCGTTTTTGTATGTGACATCGAGGTAATCCTCATAGTATTTAACAAATATCATATTTGTTTTGTTAAAATGTGTCTGCAGGCACACTTTTTAAAAATCAACTTCAATTATTGTTTTCTTCTCAATGATACATTTCAGGTTTTTTGTATGTGATATTGAGGTAATTCTCATAGAATTTTAGCAACTATCAAAATATTTTTGGTTAAAATGTGTCTGCAGGCACACTTTTTAAAAATCAACTTCAATGATTGTAGAATGATACCATTTCAGGTGAAATAATTTCACAGGGTATCTGGTACCGTCCCCATCTTTACTTTGAGCAAAGTTATTCGCGTAAATCAGTACGTTCGTTTCCCTGTATTTACCAGTGTTTCTGTGGGCCTTTAATATTCTTTACTTGATGTAAAATAAATGTAATGTCCGCGAAAGCTTGCCAGTGTAACCAACCTAAATAGCAGCCAGATTGCTGTTATAATAATCTTTGATCAATGTTGAAATCAGTGGATTAGCTTACTAAAGTGCATAGACATGATAGACATCGAAAGGTTGAATTCGATATGTAAGCTAGTATTAACCCTAACTACCCCACCTCCATCAAAATCCATCCCCCATTTTGGTGGATTTTTGGGGGACTTGGTCCAGAAGGCCTGTTGTGACTAAATATTGATGGAGTATGATGGACTTGGGCCTAATGGCCTGCAGCAGTGCTAAGGGTATCCGATTGATTTTGCCTGGCTTCCTGTACTGCTATTGTGATAAAAGCCATGTGTTAAACAAGTCCATGAATGTCAACCAGTGTGTCAGTGGTGGATTCCATTATGTCATGTACAGTTTTGTATTGGACGCACAGTGATTGATGGATTTTGATGGACTTGGTGCAGTTCCTAGTAAAAGACGCTAAGGAGTAATAGGGTTAAGGTAGTGTCTAAATTATGTGGCTATGACTTAAAATTACACACAGGTCTATGGGGAATAGCCGCAGCCGCTTCACATAGACTCGTGTGTAATTTCGAGCCGTAGCCGTAGCCCCAAAGGCAAATCCACAGCGCTGTCAGAATGTAATTTTAATCAGAGAAGTAGTTGGCTTAAAAAACCTGTGTATTTTAAATTGACCGCTGAGCATCTACGCGAAGATCGGTCCAGAATATCAAATTTCTCCTCAACAATGCATTGTTTTTGGCAAATTCTGTCAAATTATTGGCAAATGAGTATTAAAATATCCTTATTGCGTATCAAAAGATATTGCCGAGTCATTTGTAGATTTTTTTTTCTGGAACCAATCCATTTTTATATATAGGCTTCCAGTGGTTGAAATAAATCAGCTTATGCCTTCGTAAAAAATACCTGGATGACTGCAATATTATCGATATTGGAGTCATCCGGGCATTTTCGCTGGTTCCTGCACAATCCTGAGGATGATTGGAGAGGAATCGTAAAATAGTTATAACAAAATATATAGTGAAAACAACATTCCTTTTTAAACACGGAGAAAAACCTACCATAAAAAGCAATCCTTAGTTTTCTTTCAAAAGAGGGCGCGCTACACAAATAGCGGTCATCTTAACAGTAAACGAACTTTGCCTAACTGAATTTGAAACCGAAACTCATTTCAAACTCCCTACGCAAAAAAAACCCCGGATAACATGAATTTATTTCCCACTCCCCTAAGCAAAAACAAAAACGGATAACGAAACCCATTCCCCATTTCCTTATCAAAAAGAACAACGGATAACTAAACAAACTCCCCATTTTCTATTAAGCAAAAAGAAAAATGGACAGCGAAAACCATTCCATTTCCTAAGCAAAAAGAAAAACGGATAACTAAACCCATTCCCATTTCCTGAGCAAAAAGAAAAACGGATAACTAAACCAATTCCCCGTGACTTCCTAAGCAAAAAGAAAAACGGATAACGAAACCCATTCCCCATTTCCTAGGCAAAAAGAACAACGGATAAGGAAACTCATTTACCATTTCCTGAGCAAAAAGAAAAACGGATAACGAAACCCACTTTCCCAATTCCCTACGCAATAGGATAACGGACTTCGAATCCAAAATCCCAAATTTATCGAACAACGGAATTGGGAATTCGCAGTGCATGATGGGAAATTCAGAGGCCGGAACTTTTTCGAAACTTCGTCCCCAGGGTTTACTTTATTTTTAACTTCTTTTCCTATATTAAATACCCGTGAGTGCGTACTGCTCGACACCACGTGAACGAGATTGTACTTGACACCGTTAATTGTGAAGAGCGCCAGCTGTTGTCTGACAATATGCAAAACCAATCTCACGTGGTTCGCGTTGCGCATTTGGAAATTGGCGCCGGCAAAATGGAGGACTTTCGAAAAACTTCGCCACAACAGTCAAAGTAAGTTTGCCAATTTTTGCCTGAAAATGTAACCATTTGGCCTTCGAAAGTTATGTTGGAGTGACTGAACTACTGTAGATACTTCTGAAGTTGATGTACTGTTGAAACACGGCTCGCAACCCAAGTTTTTAGAGAAAGAATTCCAGAGAATTCCCATATCATCAATAATTTTCCCCTTCAGTGACCTATCAGCCATCAGAAAGTGATAACGTCCTAAAAATCAGCAGGGAAAATATTGAAGTATTTACTGAGAAAACACTAATATGGTTTGTACACTGGGGGATAAATAAGTGATGGCCAGATATGGGAATCTTTCCGGAATGGCTTCAGTTTTCTTTTTCTTTTCTTCATTTTCTGAGAATCTGGTGAGATGGGCGTGGTTAAGAAAAAATACTGGGGGGTGGAAAGAATGTTGCAACGTGACCTTTTATCTTCATATATAGGCCCCATTATCTCAATATTGGTCAGTCACTGCAAATATGTTGAAAAGACATGAATCTGGGACTGAGAAATATTTCCAATTTTGTTCGGAAATACTTAGCAATTTGTCTTGACTCTCCATAGACTTTGTACACAACCGCTGAAGTGGTGTCTGGATACTATATTCTTTCCCTTTAATTATTAAGATGACATATGAAGAAAACAGTGGCGTCAGGTTGCAACATTCTTCCCGTTTATATTTGTAACTAATTCATTGATTCTCTGCATTAATTAATAAATGTTAATCGATTAGGCCCTATCAGCAAGTTTGCGGGGGAAATACTGAACAAAAGAAATATTGGTTGAATTTACTGGTTTGGTGCCCCATTTATGTACATTATGCTATGGTTTCTGTATAGACTCTAGGGCCTGTAGGCATTTCGTTGTCCATTTTCAGATTGCAATGTGAATGCCAAAAGGTTTATCATTATGTGGGTGCATAAATCCGGGAAATTCTAAATTTGTATTTCAAGTTCCAATTTCTATTTTACCTACATGCCCCTTGAATTTTCAGTACTGAAAGATAACTCTCACAAGCGTGGCTGCCATTGAAAACTGATAAGTTGCACTCTTGTTATTTACAGACGATGAAGCCAATGAAGTGGATGCTGTCAAGAAAGCTTATGTGAACCACATAAAGCTGATATTCAACTGAAGGAATGCCGAACTCAAGTCCTTGCCACTCTCGGTTTGTCATGATTATGTACCCATCCAACCCACATTAATATGCTCTAGAACAAAACTCCAGTGAAGTCTATGGGCCAACTTCCCAGGGGCCTGCATTGAAATAATTTCATATGTGAGTTATAAATCTGAAATCTAAAATGAGTAATTTGATTTAGTAAATCTTCAGGATGTTTTTAGACCGTTGACATAGATGCTTACAACTAGGTCTAGATTTAAAATAACTGGAAAATAAGTTGCATAGTAAACCTATCCTAAACATTATCGGTCAACTGTAATAGAACTCAACCCATCAAACCCCAACGGCATGTTTTGTTGGAATCTGTCAGGATGGGTACAGTACCCCTAAAACTGACAGTATTTTACATTGGGTTGGCACACCTCCAGAATCAAAGTCAGAAATATGTGTGTGCAGTTTCCCATATGGTGTTGGAATTTGCCAGGATGGGTATGGTTCCTAGTAAATCATGCTAGGGAGTTAGGATTAAAGTAAATTAGAAAACATCAGCAGAACCATGACTGTAACAAATCCGAAGGTCAGAGCTAATAAAAGTAACATTTAACTTTGATTCGAAGCTCAATTGAGATGGCAATCCAGTTTTGACTACAATGTGGTAGCATTCAAGCATGCCAAAGTCATTTTTGTTTCAACTACATGTTCTGTATAAAACTGTGAACCCTTGCAGCATTTCTGTTAGGTCAATTAATCATCTGCATGCATCCATTGACAGACAGTCATATTAACCACTGGCACTGACGACATAAACCACCTAATTAACCACTAACCATACCTGTCCAAATGCTGCAAGGACTGGGGAAATATTCCATGCTTCCTGGGAACTTGAGTTCACTTGTGCATTTTCTTCTTTTTTTTTGGGGGGGGGGGTTCAAAGCTGGATTGCCAGTAAAAACAGTTCTTAGCATTTACAAAAATTATTGAAAAGCAAACAATTCGAGTCAACGTTTGCATTTGGCTGAAATAATGAGCACAAACAAGAAAGAAAGTAAAAATGCTTGAAACAAATTCTTTCAGAGCATAATCTAAGAAAAGGACGATTAAAATGTTCCAACTATTATGTTCTAAGGACGGGAAATCATAAAAATCCAATCTTATTAATGTTAAAAATGGACAGAATAATTAAGTTAATGTTAAATTATTCTATATGAAAATGATAAATAGGCAAACAGTAAAGGATGTGTTAAATCTAAAAATGCAATTTTAAAACTACATTCATAAAAAGAAATGTTTAAAAGGATTAGTAAGTATAAGGCATTAACCTGAAAGAACTTTGTTTCAAAACTACAATTACAAACTAAGTTAACTCACATGTATATTTTTGCTATAACCACATGATTGAAGGAATGAAGTATGATATTTATTAAGTTAGCCCTTGACACACTTGGGACAATGTTCAGTATGAAGCAGTAAAATGTGAAGTCATTATGGAGAAACTCTGAAAATCGCCTCCAAGTTGCCCTTGGATAAACTTTGGACATGAACAACAACACTGCTGAACATTTCACCAGTTTGGAACAAAGGAACATGACTGTTTCATTGAGTGCAGCGTTTCTGCAGTACGGTCTCGTTGTAAACTCATACGTAAATTGAGACAATCGTCTTGGAAGCACAACTGAAGAACGTGCCTAACTGGAACTGCATGCCATGTTGGAAGTTTGTTTAAACACTTACATATGTAAGAGTATGCTTGTTTGGAAGGACGATGCTTGTTTGGAAGGACCAACTTGAACTTTGAGAAACACTGCTTATTCGGATGTTGGGAATTCTGGTGACTTTCTGATGTTGGGACAAGTGGAATTCTGGTGGCTTTCTGATGTTGGGACAAGTGGAATTCTGGTGGCGTTCTGATGTTGGGACAAGTGGAATTCTGATGACTTTCTGATGTTGGGACAAGTGGAATTCTGGTGGCTTTCTGATGTTGGGACAAGTGGAATTCTGGTGGCTTTCTGATGTTGGGAAAAGTAGAATTCTAGTAACTTTCTGATGTTGGGAGAAGTGGAATTCACCATCCTCACTACCTGTGGATGCCTGTATCACTCAGAAAACTCGGAGGTAATCCCCCCCCCCCAAAAAAACATTGTTAATTGTCAGATAATAAAAAAAAGGAGTTTGCTGATGTTAGCAATGCATCATTTAGTTTGGGTTTGTTTTGCAAATTGACACCATGTGATGGGGCATTACACTATTTAGTTAATTGTTTCAATTAAGTTATGAATGTCAATGTAAAATGGCAGTAATGAATCTGGCCTTTTATACATTTCAGCATTTTATTATTTGACCAAAGGCAATGAAAGTACAATACTTCAAATTACATGAACATTTATTTGTATGCCAAGATTTTTTTTTTTTTTGTAGGCATGCATGAACATGCACAAGACCCCCGGATTGTGAAAGTGTACAGTTTGCAAGTGGAGTCGTTTGAGGGATAGTTCAGAATCATCAGCACAGGGGGACAAGGTTGCATGTTAACTGAGGTGAGGTAACCATTTTTCTTTGCAGTTCAAGGCCACATGCACTTGTTCCCCCCCCAGGATTGTGACAGTTTGCAAGTGAAGTCATCGCATGTGTTGTTCAGAGTGAGTCAAACCAAGATACTTGTACTTTTTCATGTGCAAGCAAATTTGAATCTATCCTGATTCTTTAAGTTGTAGCAACTGCAGTACATAATTATGTCAACTAATTTGCGTGGAGGTTTTTAGCAATTTAAAACAGTAATAAAAATGCTCTCATAAAAAAAGCCTTCAAATTTGCTTGTACATATAGATTTAACTTGAACCATCTTGGAAAAGTTTTAGGGAAAACGTTTTTGAAAAATTAGCCTAAAAGTCAATTTGTTTGTCAGGATTTTGCTGAAATAAAAGAAAATTGGGAGAAAAACATTCCCCACTTTGTTTATCAGCCCAAATTGTTCTTTTAAAAAATTGCCTCTTTTATTTACTAAAAGAACACATTTTGATTAATTTTTGACTTGAAAAAAAAAAAAATTCCCAGGGTGGTTGAAATATGTGTTTGTGATGTACTGGTTGGTGGTGGGGATGTGCTTGTTATTGTGTGGGGTTTTGGTGGGGGTTTTTGTGGGGTGTAGGTGGTGGTTTCTCCACAGGTCATCAGTCATTTGTTTTTGATAACATTGCAAAGTACAAGCTACCAGAAATGAGAAGCTTACTGGAGAGAAGGAAAGTAGCGATGAACCAACGACTTCAGGGGAATCCGAACGTCCAATCCAAGGTGAGCATCTGATTGCAACTGATCCATTATAGACAGCAAAAGGAATGGAGAAACATCTTCAAAACAACTGAAATTACGATTGGACATTTGTCTGTGAACAACTTGAAATTAAATGTTGTACTTACAAGTGCATTCTAAATGGTTTTTAATGCCCTGCATGAGACTGTGTACAATAGATTGTGTGGGTTCAGTTTGTTAAAAAAATGCGTCCGAAAATTCAACAGTTTCAAAATTGAACAGATTTCCAGTTTAACCCTCCTTGTTTTGGATCAGTCACCAGTGTTCTCCAACTTTGAAAATTAAAGGTTGGCGCTGGGGTCGGCGGGGACTCCTGCGAGCGCGGAGCGCGAAGCCCTTACGGCGTGGGGTCCGGGGCCCGCTTAAGGGCCCCGGGAAAATTTGGATTCTAGATGCTCTATGGTGCAATCTGAGGCGATTCCAGGCCAGTTCCCCCGATTTTTTTAGCATTCAAAAATTACCTTTTCAACCTAAAGCAGACTTCTCTCAGATCAAATGACACCTTTTTGTAATTTTGAAGGAAAAAAAAAGGGATACAAATTACTGTTTTTGTACGCGATTTTATGGGTGGTGCCGGTACCGTGCGATCGTCATCTTTATTTTCATGTTGCGTTTTGTCGTTGTCATCGTCATTTTTCCCCAAATTTCCCTCTATTTATGACCTACCTGTATGTTCTTAATGTCGCCAACTAGTTTGGTAAGTCAAATAAATTAAAAGTGGATTTTGTTCTCTTAGGGAACCGGGCCCATACACGATCGCCATTTATAACTTTTGACAATCGGCATGTTCGGAACACCATGTGCACGCGTGTTTTGCTCTCGAGCTTATTTGCCTCGTACAAGAACATCAATGCATATTATATTGTGTACCGCGCGTGCAAGCACTGAGAAAAAGAAAGTCGGTTGGCTGCACGTAAGATCTGCCGTACGTACTCCTGCTGGTGTGTGTGTGTACTAATACAGATATATATTTTTGCGGCGGGGTTGTCGCTACTTGAAGTATCGGCACACTCCGGAACTGGGGATTCAGTTGTCAGTGTGTGTACATCGTACCTAATAGTACGTACAGTGCATGGGGAATCGCTGGTGTTTGGCCACGGCCGGCCGTGCGTGTGATTGATTCAGCGAGATTTTAAGACAACCCCGATCCCGATCGGGCTGGGATGACATCAAAATACATTGTCAATGTGTAGAAAAACAACTGAAATCAAGGATTGTAGTGGTTTTAATAGGCTGATGGATGTTTTTGCAAAAAGGGCACGACGGCCAAGGTAAATATGGGGCAAGGCAAAACTGGCCGTGAAGACGGGGATTTTTTGTGGGGCACCTCGGCCAGTGAGAAGGCAACGACGGCACTGGCCGTCGTGGCCGTCGTTTCAAGCCCTGCAATTTACTGGGAAGCAAACGAAACATTTTATTATATTATAAGGCTATCTACAACTGAAGTTCATGGAATACAACATCCAACAAAAGTTAGCCTTAACCCCGAAGTCTAGGGTTTAAAACATCCTTTAGTCAAAGACTATTAAAAACGATGCCAATGCCCGCTGCAAATTCCGCAAACGTATTTAACAGTAACACGCACGTCGCCAGGCCTGCAATCCAAGCAGTACACGTGTGTACGTATGCGTACAGTACGTAGGTCGTGTAGCATTATTTTGCATGGAACAATGGTACATCTTGTTACCAGACGATCCCCGAATAATATGATGATAGAGGAGAACGGAATCGTCAGAACCAGACTAAACTGCATCGATCATAGAGAATAGTAAAGTGAGTTATGATCCGCGCGCATTGCAAACTTAGACTAGGTTCAGCGGGAAGTCATTCAATTTTATTCGAAAATGAAGTGGTCATTCTTGTTTCTAAGTTCTTTTAGTTGTAAATGTACACTGTAGAGTCAAAAAATTTAAACCTGGCGGCAGGATTTTAAAGCTTGGCGGGGACTTCTTAAACATGGCGGGCGCCGCAGAAAGCATGGCGGGGCGCCAGGTTTGTTCTACATGTTGGAGAACACTGAGTCAGTCACAGACAGTGAAACGAAAAAAATCAACCCTGTTCCCCTGCCTTGCCTTATACACAGGCTAGTCACCAATAGTCAGATCATATTTCAAGCAATGCTCTGTGACTAGAAAAAGTCAGTCAACAGACAAAAGCAGGCAAGAAGTATAGCACAGCTGGCTCATCAATCACCACTAGTCGGTGATTGTTTGAAATAACTTTCTCTTTCAGGTGACGGGATATAATTATTTTAACAACGAAGATGGTCAGGTCAATCAATCTAATCATTGAATATTAAATAAAAACTTGTATTGAGATTTTGATAAGGACATAATTATAACTTGGAACTGCAGTTTCAAATTGATTTTGTCATCAAGTTCTGACTTGACAAACTATTGATGGCAATAAAATGATTTTGGAAGCGAATATATTTGAAAAAGAATGCAGCATTTTATATAAAGGCGTCTTCACAAATTGGTTGTACGGTAACTATTTATACGACTCATTTTCATACACTGACAAATGTATCATGAATTGCAATCAATTTTGTTGATCTTCTTGAACTTTCGGTTGATGAAAATCTTGACGCATTTCTTTGGCAGTTTTCACAAAAACTAACAAAAAATCCACCTATCAAGCTCCCACAGATTCATGACTTAACAGGTTTTGCTTTACGGTTGAAGATGACATGAATTAATTTCCATTTTATTGTGTTATTTTCCCCCCAATCCTCTTGATCGTCATGGTAAGCTGATGATGTCTGACAGGAACCCCATCTACTCAACTCCATCCTTCATGCAACGACAACTGGCCTTACCTTGGTCACATGAGGGCAGCAGATATATGCAGTCTCAGAATGATGAGGTAATTAAATCATTTCAATTGGTCTCAGCTAATGATAAATGCCGGTTATTACGAGCTCTTTTAACTTTATTCCATAAAGTCAAAGTGGATTGGGTTTTCAGTCCCTACCTGATTCCGTGGGTTTTCTTCAGAATACTCTTCTGGGCTTTTCGTCCCACCTCTAAACCTGTAATTTCTTCACATTGTCTTCTCTTTACTGGGACCCATGGGAGATCATTAGATTCCACTGAATGGGCTACCCAGTTAAAATAAGAAATAAATAATTATTAAATAAACAGTTCAATTTTGTACTGGTATGTAAAAACAAGATGCCATAATTTAACCCCCCCCCCCAAAAAAAAACCAACCATTTTTATTTAAACAAACAAATACAATTGACGGTACCCCATCTCACTGGCACACCAAAATGAACTTTCTCATTGCACCTTTAACAGTCCTATGCAAACATTCATTCCGTGCCAAGTTGTCCTTTCAGTCAAATCAATCAAGTGACTGTTTTCAACCCGTAAGAATTCCCGGCCTACATAAAGCAGGATTGACTGCCTTGGACTGCATAAGTAACTTGATACAGCTGTGCTTTGACTCCGGGAGAGTGATAAAACAGCTGTGAGCATAACTTGCCTGCTTTGTCTGTTGACCCAGTTTGACTAGTCACAGTGCTTGCTTGACATATGATCTGACTGCCGGTGATTAGCCTTTGTTAAAAGTATAGCAGGGGATGGAAATTTTGACTGTCTGTGACTCTTTCAATAGTAAGAGGGTTAATCTCATACCACCGTTGTGGTTCTTAGTGCTTGTAGTTCTGTAGATTTCATAGATTGTCCACTTTCCAGCTGTTTTAAATTTGATTAGTTTCTCCTCATCAAATCATAATTATTGATAATAAATGGGTTATATATTTTCGAAAAAAAAACTTCATTTAATTTCTCCCAAACTATACAGCCATCTTTATGTGCAATAGGCTTATGCAAACAGAATTGAAAGTTTGACCTAGCGTTCGTCCGCACTCATCTTTGTGTAAAATATGTGGGTATAGTTTCTCTTTTTGTGCCATTATCATTTTGATTCAGTTATTTGTCCATCCCTAAATTTTGTATTCATTCAAATAGTTTCCCTGATCCTGTGTTGGCAGTTATCATGTTCCCTGGTGTCTGCTTTTGTTTGTCTGTGGCATCCTAGGGAGGTTGCCGACAGGCGATGGCCAGTATCTTTCACCAGTTGTCCTGGTCTTCCATGGCATTTTCTTTGGGCCTCAGCTGGGCGTCTGAATCAAGTGTTTTTGCAGCATGCTCTTGGTACAGTACTGTCTTCCAACCTCTCTGCCATCTGTCATGGGAGGGATGCCGGAGCGGGTGGCCGTTGAGGAGTTCGTCAGCCAGAGGGTGGAGCTGATGTCCAAGTCAATGAAGCTGACATCTGTCTTAAAGGTATAGGCCATCATTTGTAATTTGTGCATTTTGTTCGTTTGAAGCAACAAACGTGCTCAAAATCTAAAGAAGGGTGCTGAGCAACTACCTGATGAAGTTTCAGCTGAGCTTCAGCTGTTTATTCAGAGAATACTGATCTCGATTTCAAATCAAAGTTGCTGAATCATGTTTTGAATTGGGCCTGAATTCAGCATCCCAGACACATTTCTCACTGAGCCGATTGCAGCTACGCGATGTCGCGCACGGATCCGACGAATTATAGCAACCGCACGCGTGCCTTGTGCCAAAGCTTGCGCGCGCTTCCCCGAATAAAAAAAAGCAAACTACTAACAGAAATTTCCAACGGTGCGTCTTTAGACGCACCGTTGGAAAGGCCTTCTTTTGTTGATTTCTTCAAAATGACAGCTTGCCAGAAAGAATAATTTCACAGGGAGTTTAGTCCCCTTACAATCTGTCAACCAAGTATGTTTTTCAACAATAATTACGTCAGTGACTTTTTGGATAGCTGCAAATGATGGAAAGTATCTTTGAATTGGTAGGTGATGTTCAGCATGTTAGAGACTACCAGGGAATTACTGTTGATGCACCATGTGAAATAATAATTTCATATACATCTTTTATGTGACTATATGAATTGTTAATAATGTAATTTGAACCTTAATTAAGGCAGTACTACAAATCTGCATGTGATTTTAAGGGTTTTTAGTGTATTTCGAGGAAATCTGGGGAATTTGGCAGATTTTTGATAAATCTGACAGATTTTTGAAGCGAATTTAGCAGAATTTTGCCATGACCTTACGGTCACCCTGTCTGTCACCTTCCATTCTGTGTGCACACATGTCGTCTCAGCACACGTATGAAATTATGTTCACTACCATAACTAATCTATATTGTATTCTTTGCACATTTCTTTGACAAACAGGACCTGAGAAACTTTTCCCTCTAGAAACTCGTCGAAAGCCTGTTATCAGAACCACAAGAAGAGGAACACGTGTTTCCGGTGAGCTAAAAGCTTGTTCAATATACTTCAATACTTGCTTTTGCAACTATCGTTGTGCGAATTATGGGTTAATTATCAGAACCTGTGGCCTCGTGGTTAAGGGCACTGGATTCGTGGTCTGTGGGTAAAGCTGCAGGTTGTGGGTTCGAGTCCAGCCGGGGTCATGGTGCGTGTGCCCTTGAGCAAGGCACTTTGTCACTCATTGCTTCTCTCCACCCAGGAGTAAATGGGTACCTGTGAGGGCAGAGATGGTTATTGTGATTGAATAAGCTTGCTTGCGCCTAACAGGCAGCATCCAGCTGTATACTCCCCAGGGAGCTGAGATGGTAATTGGAATGTTTAATTGGCCCAATGATCAGGGGTAATAATAATACTGAATGTAAGCGCTGTGATTTAGTTTACTAAAAAGAGCGTTCTTAAATGCTGATTATTATTATTAATTTATAGATTCCTGCTAAACTTTGTTGTGAATATGAATGCAAAGGAAATTAAAATTTCCAAATTCTGTCTTAAAAACTTCTCCCTACAAAAAGTTGTTTTCCCAACTTAGTGGAGCAATTATAAGGAAAAAACATAAACTGCATGTATACAAGTATGCTATTTATGTTTAATTTGGGTTGTTTTTTTTTGTTTCTTGAATTTCAGGTTTTCCTGCTCTTACCAAGAAGACGTTGCTCTTGATGCTGGAATGCCCTGAAACTGCACCACTTTGTGATGACATCAAACATCAGAGAAACTACATCCAAGGTGCCTTGGGCCTATTTAGAATGTACTAGGCTGTTAAATGAGTAAAAAAGGTTATATGGGCAATTCCATGCTGGTGGAGATGCAAGACCAAAAAATAAATTTTCCGTTCAAGTTTAATTTGCTGAACTGACACAATATCTTGGCGTTTTTAAAACTGAAATAGTTTCTTCCCATGCGCGCACAGTTTTGTGAGTTACGCACACCATCACATCAAAGTCTGCACTGACGTCATGATGACTTATGGTAAGGAATTTTGAATTAGTCTTTTGCTATTTTCAGTGCTATTTTTTTTTTCTCTATTCTATTTATGTTACCATTTTGGGGGCGTCTTTGTGAAAATGGATATTATTTTTTTAAGTTGTCAAATTTAGTCAGATTTTGCTTGTAAAAAACGATACAAAGTAATTTTTTATTTTATTTTTGTAAATACCTACATTTTCTGACTGGTGAATTAGTCTGGTAAATTTTTCTTAAGCATGATTTCAGGGAAGTGTATTAAAATAATATATTTCTGTTAATATTGTTGTTTTTAATGCTTAGGCCAGCCATGATGTATTGTAATGTCGGCTGCATATCGCGTTATGCAGTCACAATTGCTTAGTAACATTATTGCACAGTCCGTAGTTGAGGAAAGAGTACATGTGTTATTTAAGTCCATACACATACAAGTAGTAAACTTTTTGAACCAAAATGCAACTGAGTGCCAAGCCACTGGCTGAGCAGCTTATAGTTATTCCCCAAAACAACTTTTTTTTATATGGACATATATATGTAAGCCTTTGACAAAATGAAAAATATATTTGTTTTGTTTCTGAGCACAAGTAGTCTATCATTGTCCATTCTGATGAGGTGGGGTGGGGGGAGTCTTCCTTGTGAGAATTGAATTATTGTTTGGCACCAAATTGTTTGATATTCATAATTCCTTATTATAAACATTGGCTGATATTATTCATTTTTGTTGTTGGTTCACTGGATTACTTTGGTATTGATAAAAAAATAGTAATTAGAATTGTGTAAGGATAAACATGTTTACAATAAAACAAATAATTTTGTTGAATATTTCATATTTTTCAGGAAAGATATCAACCAAGTAGAAACTTTATTACAGCAGCACAGAGAAGGGCACAGCAGAAAGAAAACTTGGAAGAAAGGGATTTTATGAAGACCACAAGAGGAACAAATGATAGAGGAATAGACAAAAAAGAATAGAACGCAAGAAATTTCATAAGTGTACATGAATAAAACTTTGAGAAAAAGGAGTTACAATTGAGCATGGAATTTGTTTTGCATGTTGAGACCTCAAATTGTTATTAGCAAAGAAAATATGTTGTGAAAATAAATTATGACGTGTTAAATATGCAAGTCTATTCACACAGTTATTGTTATTGAAGTCAACATTTAATATTTTAAGGTCATTTTTGAGAAATGTCTTGCCTCATCTGTTTTGTATTGTTTTTGAGGTGCTGAAAGGTTTTTTTGTTATATATTTTTTGTTAACTGCATCTCAAAGTTTTGCTCATGTAAAATTATTTAATTTTTGCAAAAAGTCACCGTTGGAAATTAAATAGAATAAAACCTGAACCTGAGCAGAAATGTTTTAATGCGTAATATCAGTCACAGTAATGTCTGTCACAATCTCATTTTAAAAACTTAATTTTTCCACCTTTTTTGGTAAACACTGTACATTGTAACTACTGGCTATGATATTAAAATAAATCGAATATTATATGTGTTGTACCTTAAAAATTGAAGAGAAATTTCAAATTTGTTCATTTATTTGTTTTCCTGCGTTGCTTTTATGTAATGTGAGTCACGATAAAGTGTCCCGATGATGACGACAGAAAAGATCAGTGCGTTTGTAAATTGCGAGATACGTTTAGGCCCAACTAGTGCAAACGTAACTTATGCTGAATTCACTGGTGGTTCTGGAGAAACATTAATTAGCTGCCTATACAGGTAGTAAAAATGTAAAGACACTTTTGGCATCCAGGAAAAACATAATACATATCAGTGAGAAATTCATGTCACAAAAATGCTCCAAAATAAATTCATTATACGCCTCGAAAAGTTCCAATTCCACTCCGACATGTCTGGAAAAGTTGATATAATTATTGAAATGGGAGAAAGTTTGAGCGAAAAAGACGAAACTTTACACGGAACTATTTCTATTACATTTACGAAATTACTATATATGGTGTCACTTTCTCATATCACATAAAAGAAGTGAACTGTTTAAAATAAAATTGATGGGGATAGAATCTGTTTATGAAATTGATATAAAATTGAAAGGGATGCGAGATATTGGTTCCAATTAATTTCAAACCCGCAGAAAGTCTCTGATGTCTGTTGCCATGGAATTGCCCATATACTTGTTAAAATTGTAGATTTTCTGGTTGCCCAATTAGTTACTGAGCCTTACTGTTTTTCTGATTATTTATGTATTTGTTATTTAGTTAAATTTATAAATGCAACCAATGCAAAGTACTGTACTAGGCTATTTGTGCATCACAACTTGTGGAAAATTCCAATCAGTCAATGTAATAGTGAAATGAAACAATAGGCGTTAAAACACAAGTGAATAATTGAGATTATTGTTTCTATGTTAATGAATATGCATAGTTTGGGACTTAATTATTTTGGTTAAAAAAAAGTGAGGAGCGCCCTCTATTGCATGATTCATAGAAGTGCTTTGTTACAAGATGTTTACATGAATGCTTTATGAGATGTAAAGAAACAGAAATTGGCAAATAACAAGTTTTCGTGAAATAAGTTGATTTTTATCTCGCCAGATAGACATAACTAAAATGTTTGACGGTCTGCAGAGGGCAGTATGCATTATGTGTAACCTTTTTGTAGTGTTAACTTATTTAATTTTAGTTGTACTAGATATTATTTGTGACATAAGGTGTTGCTTTATATTGGAACTGGTGTTTTTCTTTGTGAAGTGGATAAAACTTTTAGAATTTGAATTTTGAAAAAATGTATAAGATGCTGTAGGCAAACCTGACAAAGCGGCCCTCTGGTAAAAGCTAGATTACTATAACTTAAAAAAACCCCTCATTTTCACATTCAAGCAAAAGTTTGCCATTTTATAGTAAACAAATATGGCCAATTCCCCCCCCCCCCAATAAAAAAATTGCGCAAAGTTTGAACAAGCTTCCCACTAAAATGTTAAGCATTAATTGATTCTTGTAAAGGGAAGTAAATTAAAATTTACAATTATAACATTACAAATTGTTAAATAGTAAAGAAAAAACTTAAATTTAACTTATATTATTTGTCAAATTTATGCATTCGTATATTATAGTGTGTATGTTTATATACAACCTACAGTAGAAAGTATATTGAATAAATGTCTAAATTTGATGAGAATCAGAATTTTGGACCTATGGTTGTTTTACTTCTGAATATTCAGATTTTCTGCTTTTTATTATTCAATTATTCAAATGAGGGCAAGGGTATTTTTTTTTTCATTTTTTTTTATATTGCGCAATCTAACCTTTAAATATAAGTTCCGAGAACAAATTTTCGAAGAGGCCAGTGGCCTGGCGGTCTAGCTCGCTGACCGCCAGCCGCCGGGTCCCCGGTTCAAAACTCAGCCGGGGACCCGGGAGGAGAATTTTTCCTCACAGCAGTGATAAATTTTAAAAATAAATAAAATAGTAGCATGGAGCAGGGTTGAACCGCGTACCTTCTGCATGCCAGCTCTCTTTTTTCCCGCTCTGCCATGGCACTTTCTTGAAAAAATCTACGGTTTTCGTAATTAAAACCCTTAGGTTGTTGGACTTGGACAATTTTTCAGCTCTGGCCAGAATTTCAGAAATCAAGGGGTACCCCTTGAAATTTTTTCAGATCTGAGGGTCTGAGGCTGGGATGTTGAGAAGTTGGGAGCTGAAGGGGTTTGGGGCTGGAGGGTAGGCTTTGGGACTCTGGGCTGGCTGGTTGATGGTTGAGAGGGAACTGGACTATAAGTTGAAGGGCTTCCAAATTTCCAGGTCTGCAAATTGATGGGACTAGGAGTTCATGGGTCTTTGGCTTGTTGGACTTGTTGGACTATTATTAGTTGAAGGGCTTCAAAATTGATAAGTCTGCCAGTTGATAAGGTGGGGGTTTATATGGGTCTTGCTTGTTGGACTTAGATTATTGGGGTTGGACTTAGATTTGGGAATATCACTGCTTCATATTAGTTGGACTTAAGTTTTGGATTGGATAATTGAGGCTTCCTGTTTGAAGTCTTGTTAGTATTATTTGTGAAGTCCAGATCTGTCTGCAGCCAATCCGTTGGCCTTTGCCTTTTTGGTGCAATTGTTTAAGCCTGATGAAAAACATATAAGACTGCTGTAATGCTGGTTGCTAGTGCTGTGTGAGATGGATGTAGGTTCTTAGCATGAGGGTCTTGATGCAACTTGGTTGAAGGGCCTTCCTCAATTTACCATGTGGGTGGCTGTTGGAGTAGGTTTTCATGCTTCAGTGATTTTGTATGGCTTATGGCCCTCTCTTGTCAAGGTGTATAGAGGTCACATGATAGTCTGGTGCCGGTGAAAATTTAATTTTTTTTTTTTCAGAAGTACTGTGAATTTTTACACGTAGAGTTAAATACTTTGAACATGTTAAATCTTTTTCCTGAAGGGGTGGTTTGGAAGAAAAGAAATACATTTCCCATCAATTTTGTATTGAAATCGAAATTTATTTCAATTGTGTTTAGATTTAAATAATTTTAAAAATTAAAACCAAGAACAAATCTGTGTATAAAGTGTTATAAAACATCTATTGACTGCTTTATCTCGTGGTGAAGTAAAATTAGCCTCCCTCGGTGATTCATGGAGCATTCTTTTATCCCTATTATCAAAAATAAAATGTCCATGGATCACAGAAGGAGGCTAGTTTTAATACACCAATCAAAACATTCCATATATTTGAATACTATTGCCTATACTTTCGCTATTAAATTTTGTTCCAATATTCAAAATTTTAGTAATAAACATCAGAATCAAGTTTAAAATTGTGTTAAAAAATGTAGTACTAAATCTATTATATTACTTACATTCATTGCTCAAAAATACACACCAGGGCCTAATTTTACGGCTGTGTGTACTATAAATGAAGAATTTGTGTGGAAAGCAAGGAATATTAGTATGCATCCCGTCAATTATATATTTTGTGCAAACACCAAATGTTGATCAAAATAATAAAATTTTAGTACAAGTTAGCCATAAATTAGCCCAGTTGTACTAAGACATGTTCGATCACCTAATACAGATCCATGCTAAAAGCATTTAATAATTGGGAAATAACTAATTTTTGAAAGTATTTCTATGGTAACATGTTACAAAATTTTACAAAATTACATTTTTCTCTCAAAATAATCCGTGACGTAATCACACGTGAAATAAACTACCGAGTTCTATGTCTACAAATAAAGTGTGTCAGAAATAATCTTAAACCAACTAACAATATTCCCCGCAGTTTTCTAATGCTACAAGACCAGTTTTCCCCCTAACATTAAGTCTTTGCATGAAATTGAGCTTTTAATACTGAGTTATTTGATTTTCGTAATGAATACGTTTGATAAGACTCCACAAGACAGAAGATGTATGTCTTATCATTTTGGACTCGTTAAAATTGACATGAAATTCCGAAAAGACATCACTATAAGAGACAAACCTTCCCAAGGAGCTTAACCCTTGACAGATTTTTTTATGTAAAGTAGATTTTTAAAGTAACTGGGTTTAACTGCCTAAATCAACCAAATTCCAACGCATTCTGGAATTTGATTGATTCAGGCATTGTCGTCATTAAGTAAAATTACTTTAACATACACATTTATTGGATTTTGAAAGAGTGAAATCCCAATGTCAATTAATAGGAATGTACAAATACATAAACAGCAAAAATTCAACACTTGATTTTATAAGATTTTGATGGGTTTGACACCAAACAGTTTCATGGAGATGAGTATAAAGAAGGTGACATTAATACGAATATTTGTTAGATTTTGAAATATCCTGAAAGCCAAATGTCAATTTAAAGCAATGTACGAAGAACAATCCAACACTATGTTTCGTAGGATTTTGATGGATTCAAGACAAGATACTTTCAATGAGACAAGTAAAAAGAAAGCAACATTACTTTTCTGCACATTTGTGAGATTTTGAAAGACTCAGTCACAAAAAAGCAATGTCCATACACACTGACCATAAATGTTACATTGCTTTATAGGACTTTGATGGTTAGGAAAAGACTCTTTTAGTGAGATGAGTGTGTAAAGAGTGCGTTCGATTACTTCCCCCAGCTTACTCGCGCCTGGCTCCTCGCGTGATGACAGACATGCGCAGTGAAGCTAAGTAAATGAACGGTTTCGGGTAAAGTTTCGTGCAAGAGCTGGAAACATGGGCGTCACCAGGATTTTTTCTAGAGGGAGGCAAAACATTTTTTCCCAAAAAGTTCCTGTATTTCTCAACATATTCTCAATTTATCAGTTTAGAGGGGGCAGGGACATTTTGCCCCCTTTTTTCTTCCTTTTTGTTTGTTTGATTTTCCGGGGGGGGGGGGGGGGGGGTTTGCGCCCCCCCCCCCTTTCCCCCCTCGCGACGCCCATGGCTGGAAAGTTGAATTTTGACATGACAGAGGCTGCATCCGAATCAATTAACTGTCTAGAGCACGTCCACGCCCACTTCATAGCCGTAGCTTTGGGAATAGTTGTAGCTCTATGCTCTGTGGAAGCCCGTGGACACAGCCTGAGCTTAGGTGCCCGCCGGACGTTGCATGGCCTTATGGGATACTTGCCCAAGTAACCGGCTCGGCGAGTCGGTTACTTGGGCCAGGCTCGAGTAAGCGCGAGAAGTCACCTGAGAGGTAAATTGAACGCTGTCGCGCTTGCAGGAGTAAGCGCAGGGGAAGTATTCGAATGCACTGAAAGAGAGTGACATTAGTTAACTTAACATGTGTAGGATTTTGGCAGTTTTTGTGGGATTCCGATAGGAATGTGAGGCCTACATGTTATCGTCCAGCCATTTTGTGATGATGTCTTCGTTCTTAGCCATCCATTTGATGTTGGTCTTGATACGTTCCACCGCCTGAAGGCGGCCTCTTGCTCCGGCCCCGGCGTCAGGGTACTCTGCCCAAAAGTCTTCCAGCTGAGAAGAAAATAAAATCACGACAGGGAAACTTTTGTTATATGAGTCTGTGCAAAACAGGACCAGGAATATAACAGCAATAAAGGGCCTTATTGGAGTAGTTAAGACCAGTTAAAGTTATGCAATCGCAAATTTGTGACATCCAGGCAAATTTTCATGCTGTGAATATCTTACAAAAGTTGAATACACATCTCAACTCCGGCACATTTCTCAGCGAATGTTTTGTGACGTCAGTTCTCTTCGCATTCGCAACTGCGTGAGGTATGAGCTGGCTTTTCACAGGACTTGAACGTATTGTTGCGCTATGTAGTGACAGTGTTATACGACATTAGGACTCCAATGAAATCCGGACCCAATATCATGGTGCTGCTTTAACAGTTAGCAGAAAATTGTGCTAACCTTAAGCACTATTTCAAAGCCTGGATGTGCTAACGATTGCACACGCATGGAGATTTCTATTGTTACATGTACATCACTGATTTAAGCAGTTCACGTCGCATGACGTGTATACACGCAAAGGTTTTGCGGTGTTCGGAACGGGTGACAGATAAACACGCAACGAGCGAGGCTGGAAATATCTGTCTCAGACCCGCTTGCAGCAGGCAGGAAATATCAGGGTGTGCTACCTGCAGATGACGGTCTGAACCTGTTGAGCTTTGTGAAAAACATCCCGTGCCTGCGGTCAATGTCAAAATAATCCCGGTGCGAACTGGTTAAGCAACTTTTTCCTTTGGGGTAAAGATGTTTTTGCTGTGCTTACTGCTTACGATCGCCATGAAATAGACGGAGGCTCTGTTAGCAGAAAATTGTGTGCTTAACGCCATGAAATTTCGCCCTGGAATCAACCTCATGGACTCCAACCCTGACACGTGACATGCCACTTTCCTAATTATCTTCACTTAGGCATGCACAACACACCGAGGAGTCCGTATTTCATAGCGTCCAAATTTCTCACAACACCAGTACTGGTATGTGCTTATTCTCATACAAATGCAAAACTGTAGAAATCATGTTTTTGTGTATTATAAGCGTGTGAAGGGTTCCTTGAACATATTTGGACTTGAATGGGATCGTTTGGATTGATTTCAGATATTTGTACTCTCACTTCTTTGAGTTTCTGTTCAGTGTTCCAGTAGTCGGTGAATCCAGGGATAAGACGACCCAAGTAGCGATCGCTGACTCCAAATCTGCAAGTAAAGAACAAGAGAATATGAAAGTTCAGAGTTCTCAGCACTGAATTCCCGGATATTTGCCTGAGAAATTACCAAACTTCCATGAGAAATATTTTTTTACTTCAAAGGGAGCATACAATATTTGCTTTTGCTGTAATTTTCAGTAATGGATGGATTTAGGGGGTTATATTTTATAGCAAATATTGTTACACTGACTTGTTTAAGTTTTGGGTTCGTAGATGCTGGAAAAGCAAGAAAAGCAATCATGTTCCTGTAGTCTGGTTCCCTGACCCCACTTAAGATGAAATGGAGCAGTTCATAGACATATCAGGGACTTGTAAGGTCAGAGAATCAGTCTAGCTGGCTTGTACCCGTTCACAGGTGTGTTATCGATTGCAGAGAAAATGCGCACTAACTAAATATGATAAATTGGGAGCAGTATTTGGGAAAAAAAACCCAGTTTTTTCCAACATCACACTGGAAATTGATACAAAAATACCAATTTTCTTGAAAATGTCAGCACACCAAGTGCCAAGGGTGCTTTAGACTGTCATTCACTAACAGTCCAGTAAGATACCGGTATTTTGGGTTAATTTGGTAGTTTTGTTTTTTGATGTTTACAAATGTAGTTTATATTCTCTTTAACATCGAATAGAAAATGTTTTGGATCCTGGCTGTTTGATTTCCAGTAGATGTACATAGCTGGCTCTTACCTTTCCAGGAGGTAGTCATAGTTGGCTCGCACCCAGTCCCAGACCAAAGGATTACCGACGGGATTTCCTGCGATGTAGTCCAGCGTGCTGAAGAAATCCTGACTGCGGATCTTGGTATCATCTCGGCAGTACTCCAAATACCTGTGAGTGACAGAAAGTAACAACAAAAAATAACAAAATGATGATGTAAACGTTTTGTAAATTTGTAAACAGTACGTCACATGTTCTGTAGACCACACTAGTGACAATGAATTGTCATAATGCTTGCCATGGTGGTCAAGAATGCTGCAATTTCTACTTCTCGTGACCACGGTTCGAATCCCGCCTGATGTACTGAAACGTTGACTGCGTTTAGTTATACAGAATGATGACTTGGTTGAGTACGTGAAGGGGTCGGGATAGGTTTTACTACAAATTACATATCTTGAATCAAAAGAAGGCTTACAAATGTCCCAATATTAATTTTTTGTTACTAAAGCAGGGTTGAAGTCTCCACAAGCCATCACAGGATCAATCAGAAGTCAATCCCTAGTCAATCCCTAATCAATCCCAAGTCAATCCCAAGTCAATCCCAAGTCAATCCCTAATCAATCACAAGTCAATCCCAAGTCAATCCAAAGTCAGTCACAAAACAATCCCAAGTCAATCCCAAGTCAATCCCAAGTCAATCTTAAGTCCATCTCAAGTCAATCCAAAGTCAATCACAAGTCATTCACAAGTCAATCCCAAGTCAATCCCAAGTCAATCCCAAGTCAATCCCAAGTCAATCCCAAGTCAATCCCAAGTCAATCCCAAGTCGAACCCAAGTCAATACCAAGTCAATCCCAAGTCAATCCCAAGTCAATCCCAAGTCAATCCCAAGTCAAACCCAAATCAATCCCAAGTCAATCCCAAGTCAAACCCAAATCAATCCCAAGTCAATCCCAAGTCAATCCCAAGTCAATCCCAAGTCAATCCCTAATCAATCACAAGTCAATCCCAAGTCAATCCCAAGTCAATCACATGTCAATCCCACGTCAATCCCAAGCCAGTCACAAGTCAGTCACAAGTCAATCCCAAGTTAATCTCAAGTCAATTGCAAGGCAATCGCAAGTCAATCCCAAGTCAATCCCAAGTCAATCCCATGTCAATCCCAACTCAATCACAAGTCAACCACAAGTGAATCCATAGTCAATCCCAAGTCAAAACCCAAGTCAATACCAAGTCAATCCAAGGTCGAGGTACCTGATTGTTAGCTCACCTTGCAAGCAGCCAGACTTGCCGGGTGCGTGCCATGGCGTAGCGTAGGTTAGTCTTCTCCGTGGACACGGTGCTGTTCAGGTACATGTCCCACAGATAGTCCCATGCGTCCTGGTCGCCTTCCTCCTCCATGCCAAAACGATAGGCCTGCCTTCGGATGTTGACGGGAACACTGTGAGGATAGGGAGAGGAAGAGGTTTGTTTTCATGAGGGGCCTATGCACATACATGTAGTGAGGGGCACTGATAATAGCTGTCAGGTGCGTATCCATCTACAATGATGGCACATGCTCTGGCAGAAGATGCTAAGTACAATATAGGGGTGTGCAGTTAATGATGCCAGAGGGTCTGCTTGAAAAACCGGAACTTTATTTTTTGTGAAAAAGCCACTCCGATACAAAGTCCCTGTCGTCATCTTTCTCTTGTAGCCAAGCCCAGTACCATTTATTTTTTTTATTTTTGCTTCTATGGCCTTTAAGCTGTCGGTTCGTTCAATCACTTTGAATTTGTCCATATTCCTATTATTAATTCTGCCTACCCGAATTTCCAATGCAATATTCGACACAAAACATGCACGATTTCACAACACGCGATGCGCACGATGAAAACATGGTTGGTTCCCGGTGCTTTTTTGTATTCACATATATCACTGCGATTGGGAACCACCGATAACTGAAATGATAGACTTGATTTCCAGGCTGAATGCTACGTGTGCTTAGCACACAACACGCCCGCACGCGGTAAAGCACACGTGAGGCGCTGTTGTATACTGCGTGCATGTACGTTGGCCCCCTGTGTCGCATGCAGGCTCGGCAACAACAAAGACTTGTTTTTCGGTATGGAATGTGCGCAATTCTGCGGGAAGTTTTCGGATAACATTTGCGCACATTGTCTAACATGTCTAACTGCGGTCTTGATCAGCTGGAGCCAGATGCTTTATACGTAGGTCATAGGCCACTTCCTTCACAAGATTCTGTGAAGCTCATCAGAGTATCCCAGCGTCCTGTTTGCAGGGCGGGGGGTATGAGCGAATTCGGTACACAGGTACCCGGTTCCAATGAACGGGTCCAAGTACAATTTAAAATTGATTGTTTCATTTAAATTGCTGTCATTTGGCAAGAGGAAAACCTTCATTTTTCAATTTAAGAAAGAGCGTATTTGTCATTTTGCCATCAAATCCTAGTTACTAACATCAAGTTTGAGTCCCAATTGTCCGAGATTGAGCAATTGTCCACAGGGACTCGAGTCCAAGTCACCGAACATGTGACTCGAGTTGTACTCATGTCTACATCCAAATTTGAGAGACACGAGTCATACAATTCTCTGGATAAGAATGTGATTACCAGATGGCAATCCTTACCTGGTGCCAGCTAAGTAATCTCTGAAACGTGTGACGGCTTGATCCAAACACTCAGTGTCTCCGAATCCACAAGACATGTAGATGATGTCGCTACGAAGATACCTAGCAACAAACCCAAACAAATCACATCAAAAATGATTCGGAACAAAGCATGAGCCTATTACAATTTCTATGTTTACCAAGATTATCTAAAGCATTCCTGTTGTTTAAGGGTACAGAGTAGATCATTTGCAGCTGTCCAAAAAATAACTGACGAAATTATTGTTCAAAAACTTTAAAGGTTTAAAGGTACAGTCCATCATTTCATTTGTGCATTTTCTTCGTTTGAAGCAACAAACGTGCTCAAAATTTAAGAAGGGTGCCGTACAACTAAACCTGATGAAGTTTCAGCTCAGCTTCAGCTATATATTCCGAGAAAAACAGCATTCTAGGATCTCGATTTCAAATCAAAAGTTGCTGAATCATGTTTTGAATTGGGCCTGAATTCAGCGTCCGAGACACATTTTCACTAAGCCGAATGCAGCTACGCGATGTCGCGCACTGATCCGACGAGTTAGAGCAACTGCGCGCGTGTGTGCATCGTGCCAATGCTTGCGTGCGCTTCGCCGAAAATAACAAAACGAACAACTAATTTAAATTTTCCAACGGTGCGTCTTAAGACGCACCGTTGGAAAGGCCTTCTTTCGTTGATTACTTCAAAATGACAGCTTGCCAGAAAGAATAATTTCACAGGGAGTTTAGTCCACTTACTATCTTTCAACCAACTATGTGTTTCAACAATAATTACGCCAGTTACTTTTCGGATGGCTGCAAATGATGGACTATAGCTTTAATTGCCCTAATTAAATTTCCCCTCCATTTATCACAAAAATTAGGCTGGAGGAAACAGGAAACGTACTTTTCCATGTGACTGCCTGTGTCTTCCCAAGTCAGTTTATCAAGCATCGGCTTGGCTTGTGCGGCAAAGTATTTCTGTTGGTGAAACAAAGAGAAAACGAAGAACATAAACGTCTCAATTCAAATTAAAGGGCCCATGAAGTGGATATTACTTAGGAACTTATTGTGTACGAAACTTAAGTGTATGAAAAGTAATTGACATCCATTTTTGGTTAATTTTACTGAAAGGTGCACTTCTTTAAATATTAAAATAAATTTCCATGCTTTTCCAGACAACTGAGGGCGCTGTTGCCGTGATGTCATTTCAGTAGGACACTGTTCATATTAGGTGTTTTTCTGTTGAAATTGTGAACCAAAAAATTGGCTCATTGAAAACAATTGTGAGATTAGTTTGCTCACTGGCTTACTGCCATGTACAGACACAACAACGAATCGCCAAAGAACAGAAAGTTTACGACAGCGAAATATCTAAAATTCTGGCAACTTTTTGTGCACAAACCAATTGCAACATTGAGGTTTCTGCCTGATTAGACATCGCACTTTTGCTCATAGATAAGGAAATTTACATTAGCATAAAAACCAAAAAGGCACCAAAATACCCTTGAAAACGGCAAAATGAAAAATTGAAAATAAGGTTAAATGGCCCGGACACAAAGGTGCATTTTCAAGAATTGAATTAAAAATTGGGGTGCTGTGGTCCAACGGTTACGGTGTTCGACTCGTGTGCCGTGGTACATGGGTTCGAATCCTGACGGGAACATGGTTCTTGTGCTCTTGAGCAAGGCACTTTACCATTATTGCTTCATCCTTCGGATGGGACGTAAAGCCATAGGTCCCGTTCGTTGTGTAATGCACGTATATTGTCGTTAAAGAACCCAGCAACACTTGTCGCTATAAAGAGAAGGGGTTTGAACAGGCTTGTCTACATGTAAAGTTCATGAATGACGGGTGCACATAATTACATGATACATGCAGTTTTGCATATTTTTTTCCAAAATTTATGACCCTTACATTTTCACACACTGCCCAGTCTTCTATACAAAGGCGGCAAAATGTTTCTGAAAACAGAGGGGCGTCTCTGCATTGGGGTATCCAAAAGTGGGACAGCAAAGGAAAGATTTTCTAAAAATGGGTGGAAATACCCACTTTGTCCCCCCCCCCCACCCCCAAAGTTCTGAGTATTACTTACCCTTAGTTTAGCATACGCTGGCCGGAAGCGAAGCATTTCCCGTAGATAGATAATGCCATCATAGGCAGCATCCCAAGGTGTGTATTCCTCTTCTTGAACCAAATACTTGGTCAGATCTAGGGGGATGTCGTAGTCGATCATCTCGGCTCTGAAAGACAAATATCGGGGCAACATCAGTTGGTAGCTTCCTGAAACTACAGGACCTTGTACCTATAGACTCCGAGCACAAGTAGCCCCTCAACGGTTACAAAGGGAGAGTTGGGGGGGGGACCATTGGGGGGGGGGGGGGACATACAAATGCATTGCTGATGGCGCCTGACGTTTACGTGAAGACACTATGAATTTGTACATTCTGCGCCATATGTGTAGTCCGAGTATCACCCGTTATCCACGGAGCCAATCTCCTGTATAACGTCTGATATGTCTTGACATGCAGATGTATGAAAACCACGCGCCAGCCAATCAAAGTCGACTTTACTAGGACTAAATGATTTGATTGGTCAATTCGAATGCAGTGTTTTGTAATACAACAGCCGGGCGCGTTATCATGTAACATGATACAGAACGTGTGACACCAATTTTTTTTCATCCATTGTCTATGACGCGCAATATTGTCTCAAACCAAAGATGCATATTTTCTAGTGCTTGAGTTATAAAAATTCTCCTTGAAACGAAAATGTAGAAAATATATTTTTTGGTATAATGTCAGGATAATTGATTGACTGCAGCTGTACAGGTGATTGTTGCTATCTTGCGTTCTTTAAGTTGCGACCGTGGGCAATAAGCAAGAATAATGAATGCTACAGAAGTAGTTACAGGCATGATGTTCAGGGGTAATAATTAGTTGTGGCAATTCCAAATTGAAAGACTTTACCTTGCCAAGTTAAAGGCATCATCCAACAAGCCAGCCCGGTTTCGGATATCGATGACCTGAAATTGTACAAAAAAAAAAAATATGGGAAATGTTTCTTAAAAATTCAAAATTGTTATAAATTCCTGTTTTGGTTTGGCAACTGGTCATTTTACAAATTTGGAACCGACTTTTTTCTTGCCTCTGTTACATTTGATATATATGATTTTATAATAAACGATATCACAAAGGCTTGTTTTAAAAAAAGTGTGCCAACGGACACACTTTTTAAAACCAGCGTAAATGGTTGTCATCATCCAAAGAATACTATTTCAGACAGTATAATTTCACAGAGCATTTTAGTACAAGTCCTGTCTTCATTTTGAGTACATTTTTTGTCATTAAATTAAAAGATTGGTTTTTCGGGTAATTACCAACGTTAATTCCTATGCGCCTTTAAATGTTTATTAAGCAAGTTGATTTGACTGTTTCCTTTATTTCTCTAAGCACTTACTGTATGGTTGTTAACTAGTTGCTCATTCAGCAGATTCCAATTTTGTGTGTCGTAGTTGACACGGTAGAATCCGTAATTGCCGTAGTTGGCGACGTACCAATTATCTTTCTCGTAAACCCGTCTGTCAAATGTTACTGTATGCGACGGAAAAATAGACAGTATAATCACGGATATATTCGCAGCCGATTTCAGAGCGCAACTTACAACATGCGTCAGATTCACACAACCAGTTTGTTGCACAGCTGCGCAACAAACTTTTGATTTCACGAAGCTTGGCGTAGCTACACCACTGAATAACACAAAAGCATCACAATGGTGCTTTGAATGTGCAACAAGTACTATAGTAAACTAGAATGCAAACTGCAAGACTGCCACAGCCAAACCGTCACCGACACCACGAAGTAACGCCCAAGTCCACTTCAGTGTTACTTCGTGAAAACCGCTACATGACAAATTTTGGTTTCACGAAGGAACACTCAAGAATGCACGCATATCGGACACTGGTATGAACGATTTTCATTTTCACAAAGTTACAACACTGTTATACGGAAATACTATTTGGATAAAATGTTTTAAAATGTTTCACAGGAATGTAATTAATACATATTCTTGTAGGATTTCAGCAAATTTTAATAAAAGCCTTCAAACTGGTGAAGTAAAAATGAGTGTTACTTTGTGAAAACGAAAATGACCGATTCAGCGCACAGTGTAAATGAGTGTTACTTCATGAACACGAAAATCACTCGGTTCTGTAAAATACGCGCCGTAGCGCACACTGAAGTCCACCTGGGTAGTTACTTTGTGGTGTCGCTGACGAAATATTACGCATCATCACGTACGAGTTGTGCAGAATTCAACTTATATCAACTTTCCATGACTCCATTGGCTCTTGACCAATAGGAATGGGTAAACTGTACTAGGTATTATGAATTCAGTTTAATGCTTACTTCGGAATCATGAATACAGTTTAATGCTTACTTCGGAATCATGAATACAGTTTAATGCTTACTTCGGAATCATGAATACAGTTTAATGCTTACTTCGGAATCATTTGCAAAGCTCGTAAAACTGATGTTTAGCAAAATATGATGTACATACCTCCTGTGTAAGGCATGTAGTTGGGGACGATGTCACTCGTATTTGACTCGAAGTAAGTGTTGAAGGGAATGTTCCATGTGTAGCTACACAAAATAAAGACGGAAACAGAAATATTAGTCTGAAAGGAGTGTTTATCAAAATTGACTGATAGTGTAGTAAAATGAACTTAATTAATGGAATTAATGGAAAAATGTAATTAGCAGTATGGCTCATGCTATGCATATTTGAGGTCGACTTTTTTGCCTGTCCCTGTGACATATCAATGATTTTATAATTGAAATGCACTCCATAAGGCCAAAAAAAAAAAAAATTCTGCTTCCAGTTTCCCTACCTACCCTATTCTGACAGCCGGTACCCTAATTTTATTATGGGAAAAATGAGGGGAAACACACCCAAAACCATCACTTATATACCTTTTACCCATGACTACACGCTGACGCCTCCATATGATCGTACACAAACAAAATTGGCAACAACAAAAACAAATTCCCTACCTACCTACCCTGTTTTCGAATGCCATGTTATCGGAAGCAGAACTATTTTTTTTTTTTTTGGCCTAATGCAGTCATAATCCAAGAGTGATTATAAACAGCAACTACCTACCCAGCAAATGCAAAAAAAATATTTGAAGTCTTTCTTAATTCACATTCAAATTGTAAAGTACCAAGCTAACAGTGACTTGGAGCGTTGTGGTCCAATGGTTACAGTGCTTGTGTTCTTGGGCAAGACACTTTACTACAACAACCTCTCTCAACCCAGGTGTATAAATGGGTACCAGTGAAGGTAGCGACTAGAATGCGCAGATAATGAAACTTACTTGAATTTGCTGCCGTAAAGATCTTCACTCTTATCGGCTTCCGGGTTGACCAAGAACCATTCCTGCTTAACGTCAAACCTGACCTCTGTGCCAGTAACTGTCTTAGTCAAGGTGACTACGGGGAAACCCATCTGCAATGTCCAGGAATCCATGATGTACTTCACGTCGATGTTGTCACCCTTTTCTTCGCTGACCTACGGAAACAATTTCAAGGATTTATAAACCTCAATGAAAACAAAACATCCAAATGGCACAAATGAAAGACTTTAAAGTATCATTTTAAAGCTTATCATCTGTATTTTAATTTAGGGAATAACAGTGTAAGGAACCGGTCTTCACTGCGTGATAATGACTGGGTTAGGGGTGGCTGCTGTTAATGGATCAAGCTGAAGGCGAGGTCAGCGAAAAAAGCATATTTTTTTCTGCATATTTTTACCTGATGGAGGATGCTGAAATTTTGTTTACATATTCCTTGTGTCCAGAATTAAAAAGATGCTCGGTTTAGAAAAAAATCCAAATTCTTCAGAAAAATCCTTCAGAATATCCTTCGATTAATTTTGAAGGCATCGACAATTTCAGCTTGTTACTTGAGCCTTGCACATCTTTTTATACAGCCCCCCATGAAACCTTGTCGCCCCCCCAGTCGCCCCCCACTGAGATTTTAAGTTTCTAAAAAAATTATCATTGATCTACATGACGCCCCCCCATGAAATGTTCCAGCCCCCTCCAGCGCCCCCCACTGAAAAATTCCTGGCTACGCCACTGTGTGGGGAAGTTATTTTTACAATTGAATAATCTTTGAAGCCTGGCCCTAAGAATCCATATTCTTTGGAAAAAATCCTGGAATTTTTCTTGAAGGTATAGAATACCGGTGTGACGTCATGTAGAACCAGAAAGTGTAGTGCAAACGAATGGAGTACGCGTGCGTGCTGGTTCACGGGCTAATTCACGCGCTAATGTCTTTCACACACATTTTGTGAGCGTGACGTATTCACTTCGGTACTCCATGGGGTTAAGGTGTAGATTCATGCATTTCATGTCTGGTAAAAACAGAAAAGGTAAAAACTGCAGATACAGACCAGAGGAATTGGTGAATAAAGCAGGACACGGAAATGTTTCAAATACTTTCTTATTTGCTGAACAGAGGTAAGGCCAAAATTTCAATGAACAGTCTAAGAAGACAACTTACACTTGCGATCTCACGCCACAAATCGTCACTGACGGCATTGCCGTACTCATACTTCTTCAGGTAATTCTGGAGACAAAAAGAAAACAATACACACAAAAAAAAATAAACGAACAAATTCTTCTTATTCACATTTCTGGCACTGAAATACATACCCTAATTGAACAAAACAATAAGTTTGAATAAGTATTCCGTTATAATATAAAATTTTACAATACAGTGTGCCAAATATAATTCCAAAAGAAAAGACAGTGTGTTTGGGAATTTTTAAGCATTTTTAGTAAATTGGCAATCACTTTTTCCCCTCACATCAAAAGCTCAAATATCAATAATTTGAAATCACAATTTTCAATCTAAACTGTACTTGAAATTTTACAAAGTTTGCTGTTTGCTAAATTGAAATAAACAAAAAGACAAAGCTTCTGAATTTCACTCTTGAAAAAACAAACACCCAAAAAACGGAAATTCTTACCGCTACACCTTCTTTGAAGACATCCTCCCCAACGATGTAATTCAACATGCGAAGAACACTAGCCCCCTGGAATACAAGCGGAATAAAAGAAACACAATAATCGTAATAATCGTCAGCGATTTTTGGCAAGGTATACACCTCTAGAGTTGGAAAATATGTGATAGCATTGCAACGGTGGCAGCTTTTGGTGTTATCACCCTTTTTTTCAAAATGGCCATCAAAATGCTTGTTACCACTCTAGGGGCGGTATACCTTGCGCATGCGCACTAGAATCATTTATGCCCTGATTTGATACTGACCAAACCCCAGGCTGAGGGCCTACAGTGGATTTCACTGAATGGACTACTCAGTTAAATTAAGAATTCAATCAAATAATTCAGTCAGACATTAAAAAACGGTTACCAGCCAAAGTGCCATGCAATGTATATTGCTCATGAGTGGTTCCCCGCTACACAACGTTTCAGATGTATGCTATAAAAAAGGACTCTTTTCTTTCTTCACAATGACGGCGAATTTTAGATGACAGTGCGCATCAAAATGGTGGCAATATTCAGGATCGCAGTTAGGCAAAGAAAAATGACAAAATTCCCCCACTTTGTTTCCAAGTTATATCGCCATTTCAAGGTGAGCCCAAGAGCTTCTGATGTTGAAAGAACAAATCAATTTTTGAACACATTTCAATCTTGGTTCAAATTTGGGTTTTGATTTTCTGAAATGCGACAAGACTAACCTTGCTGTACGGGATAGAATCAAAGACTTCGTTAATCTGATCGGGATTCTGAAGATCCACGATGATTGGATGAGAGCTGACGATCTGATCGTTGCCCATGACGTAGAAAAAGTCCTGGTTCAAAAACTGGTTCATCTGTAGAGGGGGAGACAATAACAAAACAAAAAAAATTAATTGGAGACAAGATTCAAAACTAGTGAGCACCCATTTGGGCCAGAAGCTAAAATATTTAGTTATAAATGTCCAAGCAAAGACAGTACATCAACTGTTTGAGCGGCGTTGGTTTGGGTTGGGTTGGAGTTGGGTTGGGTTGGGTTGGGTTGGGTTGAGTTGGGTTGGGTTGAGTTGGGTTGGGTTGGGTTGGGTTGGGTTGAGTTGGGTTGGGTTGGGTTGGGTTGGGTTGGATTGGGTTGAGTTGGGTTTGGTTGGGTTGGGTTGGAGTTGGGTTGGAGTTGGGTTGGGTTGGAGTTGGGTTGGGTTGGGTTGGGCTGGGCTTGGTTGGGTTGGGTTGGGTTGAGTTGGGCTGGGTTGATTTGGGTTGGGTTGGGTTGGTTGAGTTGGGTTGGGTTGGGTTGAGTTGGGTTCGGTTGAGCTGGGTTGAGTTGGGTTGGGTTGGGTTGAGTTGGGTTGGGTTGAGTTGGGTTGGGTTGGGTTGAGTTGGGTTGGGTTGGGTTGAGTTGGGTTGGGTTGGGTTGAGTTGGGTTGGGTTGGGTTGGGTTGGGTTGGGTTGAGTTGGGTTGGGTTGGGTTGAGTTGGGTTGCACTGGGTTGAGCTGGGTTGGGTTGGGTTGGAGTTGGGTTGGGTTGGGTTGGGCTGGGCTTGGTTGGGTTAGGTTGGGTTGAGTTGGGCTGGTTGATTTGGGTTGGGTTGGGTTGGTTGAGTTGGGTTGGGTTGGGTTGAGTTGGGTTGAGTTGGGTTGCGTTGGGTTGAGTTGGGTTGGGTTGAGCTGGGTTGAGTTGGGTTGGGTTGGGTTGAGTTGGGTTGGGTTGAGTTGGGTTGGGTTGGGTTGAGTTGGGTTGGGTTGGGTTGAGTTGGGTTGGGTTGAGTTGGGTTGGGTTGGGTTGAGTTGGGTTGCACTTGGTTGAGCTGGGCTGGGTTGGGTTGGGTTGGGTTGGGTTGGGTTGGGTTGGGTTGGGTTGAGCTGGGTTGGGTTGGGTTGGGTTGGGTTGGGTTGAGTTGGGTTGGGTTGGGTTGGGTTGAGTTGGGTTGGGTTGGGTTGAGTTGGGTTGCACTGGGTTGAGCTGGGCTGGGTTGGGTTGGGTTGGGTTGGGTTGGGTTGGGTTGGGTTGGGTTGGGTTGAGCTGGGTTGGGTTGGGTTGGGTTGGGTTGGGTTGGGCTGGGCTGGGTTGGGTTGGGTTGGGTTGGGTTGGGTTGGGCTGGGTTGAGTTGGGTTTGGTTGGGTTGCGTTGGGCTGGGTTAGGTTGGGTTGGGTTGGGCTGGGTTGGGTTGGGTTGAGTTGGGTTGGGTTGGGTTGGGTTGGGTTGGGTTGGGTTGAGTTGGGTTGGGTTGGGTTGAGCTGGGTTGAGTTGGGTTGGGTTGGGTTGGGTTGAGTTGCCGGGTTGGGTTGAGTTGGGTTGAGTTGGGTTGGGTTGGGTTGGGTTGAGTTTGGTTGGGTTGAGCTGGGTTGAGTTGGGTTGGGTTGGGTTGGGTTTAGTTGCCGGGTTGGGTTGAGTTGGGTTGAGTTGGGTTGGGTTGGGTTGAGTTGCCGGGTTGGGTTGGGTTGGGTTGGGCTGGGTTGGGTTGGGTTGGGTTGGGCTGGGTTGGGTTGGGTTGAGTTGGGTTGGGTTGGGTTGGGTTGGGTTGAGTTGGGTTGGGTTGGGTTGAGCTGGGTTGAGTTGGGTTGGGTTGAGTTGAGTTGGGTTGGGTTGAGTTGGGTTGAGTTGGGTTGGGTTGGGTTGAGTTGGGTTGGGTTGAGCTGGGTTGGGTTGGGTTGGGTTGGGTTGGGTTGGGTTGGGTTGAGCTGGGTTGGGTTGGGTTGGGTTGGGTTGGGTTGAGTTGAGTTGGGTTGGGTTGAGTTGGGTTGAGTTGGGTTGGGTTGGGTTGAGTTGGGTTGGGTTGGGTTGGGTTGGGTTGGATTGGGTTGAGTTGGGTTTGGTTGGGTTGGGTTGGGTTGGAGTTGGGTTGGAGTTGGGTTGGGTTGGAGTTGGGTTGGGTTGGGTTGGGCTGGGCTTGGTTGGGTTGGGTTGGGTTGAGTTGGGCTGGGTTGATTTGGGTTGGGTTGGGTTGGTTGAGTTGGGTTGGGTTGGGTTGAGTTGGGTTCGGTTGAGCTGGGTTGAGTTGGGTTGGGTTGGGTTGAGTTGGGTTGGGTTGGGTTGAGTTGGGTTGGGTTGGGTTGAGTTGGGTTGGGTTGGGTTGGGTTGAGTTGGGTTGGGTTGGGTTGAGTTGGGTTGGGTTGGGTTGGGTTGGGTTGGGTTGGGTTGGGTTGGGTTGGGTTGGGTTGGGTTGAGTTGGGTTGGGTTGGGTTGAGTTGGGTTGAGCTGGGTTGGGTTGGGTTGGAGTTGGGTTGGGTTGGGTTGGGCTGGGCTTGGTTGGGTTGGGTTGGGTTGAGTTGGGCTGGGTTGATTTGGGTTGGGTTGGGTTGGTTGAGTTGGGTTGGGTTGGGTTGAGTTGGGTTGAGTTGGGTTGGGTTGGGTTGAGTTGGGTTGGGTTGAGCTGGGTTGAGTTGGGTTGGGTTGGGTTGAGTTGGGTTGGGTTGAGTTGGGTTGGGTTGGGTTGAGTTGGGTTGGGTTGGGTTGAGTTGGGTTGGGTTGGGTTGAGTTGGGTTGGGTTGAGTTGGGTTGGGTTGGGTTGAGTTGGGTTCGGTTGGGTTGAGTTGGGTTGCACTGGGTTGAGCTGGGCTGGGTTGGGTTGGGTTGGGTTGGGTTGGGTTGGGTTGGGTTGGGTTGGGTTGAGCTGGGTTGGGTTGGGTTGGGTTGGGTTGGGTTGAGTTGGGTTGGGTTGAGTTGGGTTGAGTTGGGTTGGGTTGGGTTGAGTTGGGTTAGGTTGAGCTCGGTTGAGTTGGGTTGGGCTGGGTTGAGTTGGGTTGGGTTGAGCTGGATTGAGTTGGGTTGGGTTGGGTTGAGTTGCCGGGTTGGGTTGAGTTGGGTTGAGTTGGGTTGGGTTGGGTTGAGTTGGGTTGGGTTGAGCTGGGTTGAGTTGGGTTGGGTTGGGTTGGGTTGAGCTGGGTTGGGTTGGGTTGGGTTGGGCTGGGTTGGGCTGGGTTGGGTTGGGTTGGGTTGGGTTGGGTTGGGCTGGGTTGAGTTGGGTTTGGTTGGGTTGCGTTGGGCTGGGTTAGGTTGGGTTGGGTTGGGCTGGGTTGGGTTGGGTTGAGTTGGGTTGGGTTGGGTTGGGTTGGGTTGAGTTGGGTTGGGTTGGGTTGAGCTGGGTTGAGTTGGGTTGGGTTGGGTTGGGTTGAGTTGCCGGGTTGGGTTGAGTTGGGTTGAGTTGGGTTGGGTTGGGTTGGGTTGAGTTTGGTTGGGTTGAGCTGGGTTGAGTTGGGTTGGGTTGGGTTGGGTTGGGTTGAGCTGGGTTGAGTTGGGTTGGGTTGGGTTGAGTTGGGTTGGGTTGAGTTGGGTTGAGTTGGGTTGGGTTGGGTTGAGTTGGGTTGGGTTGAGCTGGGTTGGGTTGGGTTGGGTTGGGTTGGGTTGGGTTGAGCTGGGTTGGGTTGGGTTGGGTTGGGTTGGGTTGGGTTGAGTTGGGTTGGGTTGAGTTGAGTTGGGTTGAGTTGGGTTGGGTTGGGTTGAGTTGGGTTGGGTTGAGCTGGGTTGAGTTGGGTTGGGCTGGATTGAGTTGGGTTGGGTTGAGCTGGGTTGAGTTGGGTTGGGTTGGGTTGAGTTGCCGGGTTGGGTTGATTTGGGTTGAGTTGGGTTGGGTTGGGTTGAGTTGGGTTGGGTTGAGCTGGGTTGAGTTGGGTTGGGTTGGGTTTGGTTGAGCTGGGTTGGGTTGGGTTGGGCTGGGTTGGGCTTGGTTGGGTTGGGTTGGGTTGGGTTGGGCTGGGTTGAGTTGGGTTGGGTTGGGTTGCGTTGGGCTGGGTTGGGTTGGGTTGGGTTGGGTTGGGTTGGGTTGGGTTGAGTTGGGTTGGGTTGGGTTGAGTTGGGTTGGGTTGAGTTGCCGGGTTGGGTGGAGTTGGGTTGAGTTTGGTTGGGTTGGGTTGAGTTGGGTTGGGTTGAGCTGGGTTGGGTTGGGTTTAGTTGCCGGGTTGGGTTGAGTTGGGTTGAGTTGGGTTGGGTTGGGTTGAGTTGCCGGGTTGGGTTGGGTTGAGTTGGGTTGAGTTGGGTTGGGTTGGGTTGAGTTGGGTTGGAGTTGGCTTGGGTTGGGTTGGAGTTGGCTTGGGTTGGGTTGAGTTGGGTTGGAGTTGGCTTGGGTTGGGTTGAGTTGGGTCGGGTTAGGTTGGATTGGGATTGGGTAAGTTGGATTGGGCTTGGGTAAGTTGGATTGGGTTGGGTTGGTGTTGGCTTGGGTATGGTTGGGTTGAGTTGGGCCGGGGTTTATTGGGTTTGGTTGGGTTGGACTGGGTGGGGTTGGTTGGGTTGTGTTGGGTCGGGTTGGCCTGGTCTATGTTGGGTTGGATTGGGTTGAGTTGAGTTGAGTAGAGTTGGGATGGTGTATGTTGGGTTGAGTTGGGTTGAGTTGGGCCGGGTTTGACTGGTCTATGTTGGGTTGGATTGGGTTGGGTTGGGTTGGTATGTCTTGGGTTGGGTCGAGTTGGGTTGGAGTGGGCTGTGAATGTTGGGTGCGGTTGGTCTGTGTTGGGTTGGCCTGGGTTGGGTTAAGTTGAGTTGGGTGGGGTTGGGCTGGTCTATATTGGGTTGGATTAGATTGGGTTCAGTTGAGTTGGGTTGTGTTGGGTTGGGTTAGAGTGGGCTGGTCTATCTTGGGTTGGTCTGTGTTGCTGTTGGGTTGGGTTGTGTTGGGTTGGAGTTGGCTGGTCTATGCTAGGTTGGGTCTGATCGGGTCAGGTGTGACTGGAGAAGGGGAAAGGTGAGGGGGATATGTGTCTTACCTTCTGCCAGTCAGGGTGACATTCGTTTACACCAAGGTACTCCACATAGCTTGCAAAGCCTTCGTTCAGCCACAGGTCATCCCACCAATCCATGGTGACGATGTTACCAAACCACTGCAGACAAAAATAATATCCAAGTCAAAATGGCAACAACAGTTTCCAAGTTTCTGACATACAAAGTTACACCAACCCTATCTGAAACAACAAAGCGCTAATGAAGTTTAGGTTTTCATCGACACTCAAAATTTTGCAATTTCTGGAAGAGAAATTTGACTTGTTGTCCTACCTGATGAGCCAATTCGTGAGCGACGACCTCAGCAATTCTCTGCTTGTTTGCTTCCGATGATTCCGTATCTGAGTACAGCAGGTAGACCTCACGATAGGTGATCAAACCCCAATGCTCCATTGCACCCGACGTGAAGTCTGGAATCGCTATCATGTCTGGATAATTAAAAAGAAAACAGTTGATGTTTTAACTTAATTATGCTCAATTAAACGTTGTCAGAAATTCTATCTTAGGTTCAGTGTTGTAGTCTTGTAAGGGATTACAATTCATCACAAGTCATCACAAGTCATCACATGTCAATCACAAGTCATCACAAGTCATCACAAGTCAATCACAAGTCATTACATGTCAATCACAAGTCATCACAAGTCATCACAAGTCAATCACAAGTCATTACATGTCAATCACAAGTCAATCACAAGTCATCACAAGTCATCACAAGTCATCACAAGTCAATCACAAGTCATCACAAGTCATTACAAGTCATCACAAGTCATCACAAGTCATCACAAGTCAATCACAAGTCATCACAAGGCAATCACAAGACATCACAAGTCATCACATGTCAATCACAAGTCATCACAAGGCAATCACAAGTCATCACAAGTCATCACATGTCAATCACAAGTCATCACAAGGCAATCACAAGTCATCACAAGTCATCACATGTCAATCACAAGTCACAGAGACACCACAGGATCTACTTGAAAAAAAAAACGGAACTTGGTCTGCTTGAAAAAAACAACGGAACAGCTGCTTAAAAAAACCGGAACTTAATTTTTTGGGAAAAAGCCACTCTGACACAAAGTCCCCGTTGTCATCTTTCTCTTGTTGTAGCCAAGCCCAGTTCCATTTATTTTTGCTTCTATGGCCTTTAAGCTGTCGGTTCGTTCAATCACTTGGACTTTTTCCAAAGTATATTACATATATTTATTCTGCCTACCTGGCCAAATTTCCAACGTAATATTCAACACGAAACATACACGATTCAACAACACTGCATACGTGACCTTTGCACTACGCGGTGCGGGCAACGAACACATGGTTGGTACCCGGCGTTTTTTTTATTTACATAAAACTGTGATCAGAAACCACTGATAACTGAAATGATAGACTTGATTCCCAGGTTGAATGCTACCTGTGCTTAGCACACATCATGCCTGCATGCAGTGAAAAATGCGCCAGGCGCCGTTGTATACTGCTTGCAAGTACATTGGCTGCCTGTATTGCATGCAGGCTCGGCAACAACAAAGACTTGTTTTTAATACTACTTCAACGAACATTGTGCCAGCGTGCACCTAAAATGAACCAAACTCGAGAACACTAACGAGGTAAAAATCAACGCATTTCCACACTTTTTCTTCGCTTTTTCCAGTTTATCTTGAAGGCCGGAAAAAATGGAATTTTGTGAGATTTAAAAAAACAACTTGGAATTGCGGCTTAATTAAAAGTGACATATATCTGAATTATCACAATTCATCACTAGTAATCCAATCTTTCATTAGTCAAAAGACCTAAGACCTAATGATGTAATGGCTTTGTTAACATATATGCGCTTTCCTATGGGAGCGAAGTCGGGACGCCAGACGAAGTAGGGACCGTCCACCACATAGGAAAGCGCACATAAACAAAGCGTGACGTCATTAGGTCTCAGGCCTGTTGAAAAGCTTTTAAATTTTGCTTGTTGTTTCCTTTCCCCAAAAATATTAATAGTTTATCTCAGATATTTGCCAACTCACCCAGTTTTGGTAAAGGGTAGGCCAGATCGAAGTAATCCTCAAAATAATTGGTGACATTGACACCAACCTCCAGTGCGTAATCTACCTGGTCAATCTGGTAGGGAGGGGCGTAGACTCTGAACTGTAAACAAACACAAAAACAAAATCCACTTAAATGAAAAACAAGTATTATGTGGGAGTTTTTCTAATCTATAGACCAGCCCGCGTTGAGTTATGGAATATTTACTCACAAAGTTTGAATAATGTCCGGAAAGACAGTAATTTAGTTCTGGCAGAGTAGACTGGTTTCCGCCTCCCTATTCATATCGATAACATAGAAGCTGGGAACCAGTCTACCAAAAATAAATACTTTTTTAGTGGGTTGCAAACAATCAAATTGCAAATTTGTCAGAAGAAATAAGGTTGGAGAGCACAAGTGGTATATTTTTAAGAAATTAATGGTAAATAAACTTTTCTTTGACATAAAAAACATAAATGTGAATTAATTTTGTAACTTACCGGTACTCCAGTGTCTAGAAGTTTCTCCTTGTACTGGAAGTCACAGACGATGAAACAAGCCAGATAGGTACTCATCTTGACAGAAGTGGCAAATTCTGTCTGCCACAAGGACGTGTTGAGAGGGTATTCCGTGGTACTCTGGTTTATAGAAAACAAAATGGAACAAGATTACTCTCATTCAAGGTTTTAGGTTTGGTGCCTTGATCCCATGATTTTGTGGGTAATTCTGCAGGTTGTGGGTTCGAGTCCAGCCTGGGGTTATGGTGCGTGTGGTTTTAGGTTTGGTGCCTTGATCCCATGATCTTGTGGGTAATTCTGCAGGTTGTGGGTTCGAGTCCAGCCTGGGGTTGTGGTGCGTGTGGTTTTAGGTTTGGTGCCTTGAACCCATGATGTTGTGGGTAATTCTGCAGGTTGTGGGTTCGAGTCCACCTTGGGGTTGTGGTGTGTGTGGTTTTAGGTTTGGTGCCTTGATCCCATGATCTTGTGGGTAATTCTGCAGGTTGTGGGTTCGAGTCCAGCCTGGGGTTGTGGTGCGTGTGGTTTTAGGTTTGGTGCCTTGAACCCATGATGTTGTGGGTAATTCTGCAGGTTGTGGGTTCGAGTCCAGCTTTGGATTGTGGTGTGTGTGGTTTTAGGTTCGGTGCCTTGAACCCATGATCTTGTGGGTAATTCTGCAGGTTGTGGGTTCGAGTCCAGCCTGGGGTTGTGGTGCGTGTGGTTTTAGGTTTGGTGCTTTGAACTTATGATCTTGTGGGTGATTCTGCGGGTTGTGGGTTCGAGTCCAGCCCGGGGTTGTGGTGCGTGTGGTTTTAGGTTCGGTGCCTTGAACGCATGATCTTGTGGGTAATTCTGCAGATTGTGGGTTGGAGTCCAGCCTGGAGTTGTGGTGCGTGTGGTTTTAGGTTTGGTGCCTTGATCCCATGGTCTTGTGGGTAATTCTGCTGGTTGTGGGTTCGAGTCCAGCCTGGGGTTGTGGTGCGTGTGGTTTTAGGTTTGGTGCCTTGAACCCATGATCTTGTGGGTAATTCTGCAGGTTGTGGGTTCGAGTCCAGCCTGGGGTTGTGGTACGTGTGGTTTTAGGTTTGGTGCCTTGAACGCATGATCTTGTGGGTAATTCTGCGGGATGTGGGTTCGAGTCCAGCCTGGGTTTGTAGTGCCTGTGATTTTAGGTTTGGTGCCTTGAACCCATGATCTTGTGGGTAATTCTGCAGGTTGTGGGTTCCATTCCAGCCTGTGGCCTAACTATTATTAGTTGAGCTAAAACATGGGGTGCTTGGCATAACAGATAAAAGGACTTTAAATATGTTACAGACAATCAAACGCCGGCAACAAGTGATTATAAAAACACGTGACACAAACATGGGGGACGAAGCAGAAATATTTTTTACAACAATTGGATGTTAGATGGATTAAACAAATTATTGATACATTTTCCTGGAAAATAAATATATATATACAATATGGAACTGTGTAAACTCACTGGCCAAGTACGTACATAGGAGACTGTGTAGTTACAGGCCCCTCTTTCATATTAGTTCTTAGACCGAGTGTTTTTATCGTTCAAAAATGATATTTGCAACCTTAGGCCAAAAAAAAAAAAAAGTCTCTGGTTTCTGGTATGCGCGCGCGTCGCCGTAGCCATGCGCGTCGGCAAAATGAAAAAGTTTTTTTTTCAATGAAAGATGATGTCTAAAAACCGCCAAACTCACTGGTTTGACTGGAATCCTGCTGCTGCACAATTTTAACGTGTTTTTAGATTGGGTTATGATCGAGAATAAGCTTTATGTGGCCTTTCTGGTCTCCCACATATTTGCACTAAGTTTAGTCGGGCACCATTTGCAGTCATCAGCCGACATTTGAAGCAAAAAAATCAGGTAAAAAAAAAAAAAAAGCCGCGTCGCCGCACCACTTTTTGGGCAAGCTCCATACCAGAAACCTGAGACTTTTTTTTTTTGGCCTTAAGCAGTATTCTGGATTTTCTCTCTTATAGGAAAGGGGCTTGTACTACACAATTGCAGAATAGTGCATTTTTCTTTTTAACCAAAGATAAATAGGGCCATTAGATTTAAAATAAGACTGCTTTAAATTTGCATTTAAGTCATTTTCGGAATGATAAAAACACTCCCAAGAACTAAAACAAAAGAGGGCCCATTACTACACAATCACCAGTACAAGGACCATCTGTATGACATTTATAATGACCTTGGTAAATTTTTAATGAATTAATAGGTCCTGGTAGCCAGTATGTTTATACATGTACTTACAACGTTGTTCATATTGGACAGAGCAATATAGGGTGCCTCAGGATGAACTAGTGTCGTGGTGTAGTTGGCCTTCAGGTTAGGTTCATCAAAACACGGGAATGCACGACGAGCGTCCGTAGGCTCAAATTTACTGGTGGCCATTTTCCTGTTAATCACAACAACAAAAAATGGAAAAACAAAACAAATTAAAGCGTTGTCATTTGCATGAAACTAAGTTAGAACAGTCTAGTTAGGTTGTTTTAGCTTTGAGGCTGACTAAAAAAAAGAAAGTTTTTTTTGTCCTGGCTTTCTGAAAAAAATAGATAGTGGATATTTTGCCGGAGGTAATGACGGCAAACTAACGATTACTTAAGGTTTGCCGGTGGCAATCCATATCAACAGAGGGCGCTGTACTCTTTAAAATAGGGCTGAATTATAAGATGTATTAAATTCCCATCAAAAGTTGTGTAGCATGTTTGGTGTAGCGGTTAAGCAAAGGCTCTAGTAAGCGGGATGACTCGAGTTTGATTCCGACCACACCACATTTTAAATTTTTTTTTTTTCATCCCCAAATAAGTAAGAATATTCTTCTTTTATTATATTAACATGTCTCAAACATTTTTTGCAGAGTATTACATTTTCTTTTTCAGATTTGTGGCTCTGGAGGATTTTTTTTAAAAGGGAAATAAAGTCCGAAATTATAAAATGGTCTGAATCCCATCTTGTGAATACGAGGTAACAACGATAATTTTGGCATGGAGCCAGACTAAAACTTGTCACCGGAAAATGTTTAAGTACAAAAAAAAAAGTAGCTGCGCATGTTCAGTGCATATCCGGCAAACTAACGTTTACTAAAGGTTTGCTGTCTCCGGCAAAATATACACTGGCACTGCCAAAAAAATATCAAATAAGAGTCAAAAATGTTTTTTTATTGCTCAAAAATCACCTTTACAATGCAATGAAAAGCAGACTTTTCTCAATTCTAATGACATCAGTTTTGCAATTTTTTTGGGTATAAATCATGATTTTCCTGCGCGGTTTGTGCCTTGCGTGATTCATCGTGCCGTGCGTACTCACGGGTACATCGCGCGGTGATCGCCATCTTTTTTGGGGTTGCGTGTTAAGTTGTCGCCGCGCTGTCATCGTCATATTACCCCCAAATTTCCCTCAAAAAATCACAACCCTGCCCTCTATCTATTACATACCTGTTTATTGAGAATGTCGCCAATTAGTTTGGTCGGTCTAATAATTTTAAAGTGGATTTTGTTCCCTACAGGAACCGGGCCCTACACGATCGCCAAGGATGGTCGATTTGACTTTTGACTTGGGGATGTCTCCCGAAAAAATTTTTCGTTCAAATGGTGGCTGCACAAAAACTACAACAAATGCACAGAAAATAGGTGATTCCTTACCCTGTCGCATCATCTCTATGAACATGTTCACACTGAAATACTGTTTACTATATAATAAAGTTCAGACAATAACAAGAACAATTTTGGTGGCCTTTAAAAATCGATAAAGCTGAAGTAATCAAACCAACTGCATGCAGCGCAGACGACATTAAAATGGCCGGGGAAACCACCAACCACTTGAGGGCGCTATTGATCTTGAGAGGCGATTTTGAAAAATAATTGATACATAATGGGGGGGGGGGGGAGGGGAGGGGAAGGCCCGACCTCGGTTTTTCCAATTTCGGTTTTCTTTTCCGTTCCTGTTTAAATGAAAACTTCTGGCTTGATTTTAGTCAGTAAATTAAATCGAAGAAGGATGAACCTCGCCTAGGGCGTGTCGAGTTCACCGTGTTCCATGGTGCCCTATTCAATATACTCAAGAGGTGAAACATATAAACCTTACACTGAGCGAGATTTTTACACAATCATCAATTAATCTGATGACTGTGCAGTAGAGTCGACAAGGCCAGAAATTACGACGATAACGCTATGCAATCGGCAATTATTTGTACGTCCCTATCTGATTTGTACTGAATACATACAGATTATTTCACCACTGTTTATATTGTGGCATTGCCGTGCTTGGTACCACTTTTGATGAAAGAGAAAAAACACAAAGTTCATTCCAAAACTCGTCGGTCCAAAGTTCGAAATGAATGGCATTGCTTGAGAGTACTTCAGTATTAAGGCTTGGTTTTCTTTGTACGTCCGAGTTGTTAAACACACTGTGCATGATTTGTACTTGGGGCAACAAACAGTTCCGTATTTGTGGTAACTAACTTTGTTCAAGTATTTGCCTCTTGGTTATTGCAAAGATCTGATGCTTGTTTGCCGATCTTTTTTTGGTAAACTTTGTTTAAGGTAATGTAGGTCTACATGTATACACACAATTTGCAAACATTCAAAAACGAAACTCAGTGCAAAAATAAACTGAAATATCCGCTACTTGATGGTAGGTATATGAAACCATTCTTGCGCCTAGTATGCTGTCGAGTTTCAAGAAAAGAGGAAATACCACCATTACCTCCCGATGGTTTGGTCCGAACCAGAAACCGGCTTTCCCCCTAAACAAATGTGACTCGAGTCGGACTCGAGTCGAGTCATTGACTCCAGTCGTTACAACTCTGCTAAGAAGAGTCATATGTTGAGTACCGAACTATATAGATTTGCTTAGGGCAATTTTGTCGACCAATGGTTGGTGTTTGCGTAATGCATAAATTAGGGATAACCTTTAAAGATTTTTTAAACAATGTTTTATTACAAACATCATCATCAAACAGCAAACCTTTGAACACTTTTAAACTTAAATGTTTGAAGCAAAACCATTTAAAGCATTTAAAGGGGAGTTGATCACGCTACATGATTTTCTTTAAAATAATTATCTTTTAAAATACGATTTACAAAGAGATGATTAGAATTAAATCTGCAAAGTTTCCCTTGATCAACTGACAATACGTTGGTGACTTAGTGTTCAATTATTTCAGAGTTAAATATAACTCGACACAGTGGCGTAGCCACCGGGGGCGTGGGGGGGGGGGCGACCGCCCCCCCCCCCCATGAAACCTTGTCGCCCCCCCCCCCCAGTCGCCCCCCACTGAGATTTTGAGTTTCTAAAAAAATTATCATTGATCTACATGACGCCATGGGCGTCAATCCTGGGGGGACAGGCGACATGTCCCCCCCCCCCACTTTTTGAAGGGTGGGGGACACAATATCAAATGTCCCCCCCCTCCCAGATTTTTGAACTCGTGTCTCATTTATAGGGCCCTATTATGTACTACAATGTATCTTTTGCTTAGCAAATATTGGTTAAAGTGGTCAGAAATTGCCTCAGATAGCACCACAGAGCATTTAGAATCCAACATTTTTCGGGGCCCTTAAGCGGGCCCCGAACCCCACGCATAAAGCTCAGAATTCTGGTAGCTGATTCAATGACTCCAACCTCAAAAACGATGTTCAAAAAATTGTCTTAAGCCTTTAGCTGAGAAAACCTCGAAAATTATGTTTAAATTATTATCTTTTGTGCTAAGATAATTATTGGTTAAAGTGGTAAGAAATTTCCTCAGATCACACCACAAAGCATCGTGAATCCAATTTTAAGCGGGCCCCGAACCCCACGCCTATAGCTCAGAATACCGATAGCTAATTCAATGACTCCAACCTCAAAAACGATGTTCAAATAATTATCTTTTGCTAAGAAAATATTAGTTAAAGCATGGAGGAAAGTGGTAAGAAATTGTTTCAGATCACACCACAGAACATCTAGAATCAATTTTTTTTCGGGCCCCGAACCCCACGCCGTAAGGGCTTCGTGCTTCGCGCTTGCATCAGTTCTGATCAAGGTATGTCCGCCCCCCACTTTTGAGAAGCGATTGACGCCCCTGCATGACGCCCCCCATGAAATGTTCCAGCGCCCCCAGCCCCCCCCCCCCCCCCCCCCCCCCCCCGCCACTGAAAAATTCCTGGCTACGCCACTGACTCGACAACATGTTAATCAAACATTATGTTGATGACTTGGCGTTTCAGAATTTGGTATAACTCAAATCAAGAAAGCATGTTCTAAAAACATCTGAATTGGTGTTTAATTATTTCAGAATTAAATATAACTCGAATCAAGACAACCTGCTCTAAAACATCTGTTGAGGACTTGGTTTTCAATTACTATACATAATTAAATAGGCTATAACTCAAATGAAGTATTTACTGGAACAAAACCTAACTAAAATGTCAACTAACGATGATTGCATTCTGTTACAATTCAAACTGTTTAAAATTATGTTTGATATTGGAATTGGTTATGTGCAAAATGGTAGATGCGTCTCAGGGTAACATGGGTGTCCCCGTTAATGTTTGGTTTTGAGTCTGTATTTGTCTAATAAAGTGTTATCAGACATGTCTTTTAATTATATAAGGCATATAGCACTCTACATTTGTGAAGGATATATTAATTTGCGGGCTGATTTTTTTTAATACGATTTTCAAAGAGATGTTTACAATTAAATCCGCAAAGTTTCCCTTGATCAACTGACACTAATAGATATTGATGACTTGGTATTTCAATTACTACAGAATTAAATATAATTTAAATCAAGACAGCATGTTGGAAAAAAATGAAAAAAAAATCAACACACGATGATTACTTTTTGTTACAATTACAAGACATCGATGGCCTTCATCAGAGACTACTGTCGTAAAGCCCGTTTCTCGATTATCACAAACACGTCTGTTGGCTCTACTACAGATTTGCTGTACAAGACTAGCACGTGAGGCTAAGTTGTCTCATCAATGATGCCCACATAATTTATGTTGGCATATGTATAATGTCCTTCATGAAATGAAAAGTCAAACAAAGACAAAATATGAATATTAAATATTCAATTATTGAATAACCTCACAGCCCAATCGCACCCCCCCCCCAAAAAAAATCCCCAAACATCTAGCAAGCGGGAAAATGCGCTGAGAGCCCTAATTAAAAATTATGTAAAACATTCATGGAACAAAGGGAGTGCTCAAACGATGTGTTAATTCGCACATGTTAATGAGTGCACATGTGGCCTCTGATTCACGTCGAGTAGAAAGGTTAGTATAAATATTCAACCATTTTCAGGCATTTATACTTTGCCTATGAGTTGGGTAGGAAATGTTCCCAACTTTCTGAAAAATTTCATTTTCTGAAGAAAAAAAATGTTGGGCAGGAATTATTTCCAATGTTTGT